TGTGGCCAGATTTGACACTTTCTGGAGACACCGGGCATACGTTTTGGGTAACTCTAACTGTCCGGAGCACCTTAATATTTGGAGAATACGGTATTAAAAGCCAAACCATTAACAAATGTACGTTTATTGATTTTATGTTTCAGAGGATCATTGTGGGAGGGGTGTAGGGGGGTGAGTGTGGTGGCTAAGTGGTTCGTGAATTGTGACCCGAGTTCCATACGCAGCCAATGGCGAACATCAGTGGCGAGTAATATCTACATCGGTTCTGGTGCCCTGACCACCCCACCAACCACTTTGACCAACTTGCCAACCACATCCACCCGTGGTCTGCACTAACCCTGCTCTTGGCTGAGAAAAGTTGCATGGTTCACAACTGATACTCAACAGAGATGAGAAAGCATACAGATTTGAAGTTTTCGTGACTGCAAGTATCCACATGCTCTTTGTTTTTTTTTCGGTAAAGTCACGTAGGTGAAAACATAAAATAAAACAACTAAATTAAATCACGACGTTTCGGAAGCAGCACAAGTATCCGTCATCAGGTGTGACTGCAGTTGTCACCTACGCGACTTTACCGGAAAAAAAACCAAAGAGTAGACAGCATACACCTTGCTGAATGTGTTTTTCAAGTCTGTGGCTGCGTGAATTCCTTGTCACCACGGCATCGCAGATAATTGGCAATATAATGCAGCACTTTGCAATATCAAAAAAGCTTTCAAGTGGCCTTGCAGTGCAAGGGTCATATCAATGCATTGCTGCAATGTTGTAAGGCAATCATTATTTATGGCAGCAAACAGAATTGACAGCTTTGGAAAAAAGAGAAAAGGCCTCGTGTGTACTGTATGTGTGCGTTGCATAATATTTGGTAAGTGTGTTTGGGAGTGAGCGTACATGTTTATTGTCGTGACTTGTTAAAAGCTCTCCAAGGTTATTTCATTGGCTGTCAGTTTAAGCAAACCGGTCTTGTTAATGGTGAGTCGGAGCGCTGTAGCGTTCTCGACTTTAGAGCCTGCTTGAGTTACCCTGAACGAAATCGTTTAGAGAAACGGCGAGAGAATGCACAAGTTTGTAACTGATGAGCGGAGTTCAATGCCTGCTCAGCAGATAATCTTTATTTGACCTACATGGGCGCACAGATTAAAGACTCCGGGAACAAGCACAATGCGATGAAAAAGAGCTGTTATGGTTGGTGTAATTCCAGTGCGGTTCAGTGACTCAATATCATGAAAATGCTTAATTATGCTGTAACCACTACAGCCAAAATTTAATGAAGCCTTAAACTTGCTGACAATGGGAAGAGCGAACATCAATGGACAGGAAGTTTTTTTTGCCAAATATCTTTATTTTGTTCTATGGCAATAGTTGCATACAGATACGTCTGCAACACCGTTTAAAATTATGTAATTTTAGCCATTTTTGACAGCTGGGAACTAAGATTATACAACCGTGATAAAAATAATAAATTTTAATTGAAAGTGGCACAGCCTTTATTATGTTATTATATCAAGATATGTTGCAGTTGGTTTGTTACAGTGCAATTTATATTGACAAGAACGTATAAAAGTAATTAGTGCGGTAACTATGGCCAGAGTCTTAGATGTGCAAGTGTACAAACAACAATTATAAGCCGAAACATATCAACAGATGCATTACATTTTTTGGGAATGCGTTTGCAATGCTTGCAGACAGGCAATGTTACTTTATCACCCTTTAAATCTGGAACCCGCTGATAATTCACTGACCTTAGAATATTGACGAAAGGAAAAAAAAGTTATTCTGAGACGGTGAATTCCTTCAAACCTATGGAATAGTATCCACGTTACCAGTTTGCCTTCAACAAAATGGCTCAGTCTACATGCAAAACGTTTGACATCTTGCCACGTTCTTGCACAGAGTAATTCCTTCCTCGAGTGACCGCATTTATATAACAGCCTGCCTCACGTGAACATTAACACTGTGCATTGCAGTACAGGGGGTATGGGGCGTAAATGTTTTAGTGTAAGAAAGTAATTTACCAACAATTTATCTCCAACGGACGTCCAGCGGCAAGGTGTCCATTCAATGGAAACGATGAAGACCACACACATCGGTTTGTTTGTGTGCTGACTGTACTATTGCAACACAAGAGCCACACTTTGTTTAAGCCACTCCTTCATCTGTACACAACCCGTGTTCAAATGTCCGATGCGTAACTATGGTTAGTCAGTATTTAGTTTTTTAACACGGGGTGAGCTCTTGTCATTGGCTTGCTTCTAAAAAATCGAAAACACATTTCATGGGCATTGCTGTTCATGTGCATGTAGTTTTTTCTTGCCTTAACAAGATAATAAATCGGTGCTATGAAGAATGGCCATTGCCTGAAACGTTGCCTATCATATATTTTCCCTTATAAAGCCTGTGTTATTGATGAATGTGTTGATATTTTTTTGTTATTTGTGCTCATGCACTTTTGCCAATGCAGTAGCATCACCACCAATACGTTGGTTAATCTGTAGAGGGCTTGAAGGGAAAAACAACGAAGTGATCTTTGATCAACAGTAATGAACAAAATTTAAATTAATTTTATCACAATTAGTTTAACACGTAATTGTCACAATTATGTTTACACATTATAACATTCACCTGCAATAAATCATATTTAAAAGCTATTGACAAAAAAAGTCAATGAATCTGTTTGGTGTGAGAACTTTGCTCTACAGTTCAAAGTAAAACACGTAAAAACAAACGCATTTCATAAACAAATAATAACCTATTCTTGGTTATTTCTGTAAATTCACGTGGAAGGGAAATGATAAAATAATAAACATCTCACGACGTTTCGGCCACAACGCAAGCAGCTGTCCTCAGGTGAAGAACAGGGCTGTCTGAATGAAAACTATTCTGTTATGTTGTATTATTTTATTATTTCCCTTCTACGTGACTTTACCGAAAGAACCAAGAATATTAATCCCTGCAGTCACGAAAGCTTTAAATCTAAATCAAATAATAACCATTATGATATACATGTAAAAAAATGGCTTCACTTTGCTTGGTACAGCAAACCGAGCTCTCATACTCTGAGGGTGCATTGTCTTTGATTTGTGCGCCTTTTGGCGTCATCTGGTGCAACTCATGTGAGACTAGGCTCTAAGGAAAGCTGTCTCGGGTGTGGACCAATCAACTTCAAGGACAGTGCATATATTATCAGAGTTGTGTTTTTTGTTTGCATTATGGCTGCAGGTATTGTGGTCTATGCAAACATGACTCCTTGTAAAAAAAGGTGTCAGTTTTGTTGCCAGATAGAAGGGTAAAAAAACAATTATCATGGTGTAGTATGGTCAAGCAACCCCAATATGACCCACACGGCATCGTCATGCCTTCTTCCGGCAGTGGATTTACAAATGACTGTACATTACTGTTGCTTATTGTATTAGACCAAGCACGTATATCAATGTAGTTTCTTTTTTAATTTTTTCAAAATACTTTCGTTATTATATGCACAGCATGCAATAAATGTACAGACACCGTGACTGGACACATTTATTGAAATATAGTCATAACTAAAGCATGTTGACACACCCAAGATGACATTTCACCCCATCATGTGAGAGAGGCACTGTTCATATAAGAGTCAAGACTGCTATGCAGCCCCCATTATCACACTTGAACGTGCCCTTATGTAATATATTTTGTATATGGATATTTGTAAATTCGGACACCCTGAATGTTCCATTATTCGCATTATCGGGACACACTTTGACATATATTTGTATGATCACAACTCTTTCATTCATCCTGCCATTCATCCTGACTGAAGTTTGCAGCATTGGATTTTCCCATTAACTTTTACGCTGGCTTTTAATGGTATATCTCCCATCCAAAGTTTGTCATAACTGGGCTCACTTTACCTAACATGCAAAACCCCTTGCATTTTGCTCAGGATCCACACAATTTGAAGAAAAGCTCACTGCACAAATTGATTAAAAATATTGCTTATAGATCTCGTAACAAAAACACCCCATCACGATGGAGCCGCATTGCATCAAACGTTTTGGAAATGTTAAATGATCACATTTATGTAATAGGGGTGTCACGTGATGATAAATGAATGCAGTGGTGGCACAGTGTTCAGCACACTTTGCTATACGCAACCGGTGGACTGACTTTGATTCCTGGCCACAGAAAACACCAAATAGTTCGGAGCATTGTGGTAAATTGTGGCGATAATCACTGTGCCATTACTCCGCCCAATATACATATATACTGAGCCATAAAACGAATTCCAATTGTGCAATCGTAAAAGAACAGACGCAAGAACGCTGAACTGGCAGAATAGAGATCCTAGGTAGTTGCCTGCGATTTAACTCGGTTCTCAAGTGTAGCAAGGTGATATTCTCCGCCTGGTCAATAATGATTGCACACAAAAAAAATCCACGGCAATAAATTTTGGTATTTCAGCTGATTTGGCTAAAATTTTAGCGCTGAGAATTAAAATAAATCAATTTAACACTCACGTGACAATCTCAGCAAAGCGTGTGGAATATGTGCCCCCTGTCGTTTAAAGGTTGAAAAGGTCACTTGAAGGATTTTTCAGAAGTGCTGTGAAAATCACACACGTGGGCACAATTGTAATACATTACTGGACATGGTAAAAAAAAACTCCAAAGAGAAAGTAAAATCCAATTCACAGTGGAAACGGCAAAAAAGAGTTTCCAGAGGGACAAATTAAATGTTCATTGCATAACACCGCATGTCATGCAACGAAAACTTCATTAATAAAATGAATTTAAAAATACACGCAATTTAAATTACAATGCTGGAATGGAACAGTTAAGAAATCCTACAATGGATTTCTTAACTTTCGATTGAAAGGTATCGTGACTGCAGGGATTCATATTCTTGGTTCTTTCAGTAAAGTCACGTAGAAGGGAAATAATAAAGTAATACAAATTTTTGTTGTTTTATTTAAAAAAAAATAATACCAACATTTATTTTGTTTTTATTTTATTATTTCCCTTCTACGTGACTTTACCGAAACTACCAAGAATATGAATCCCTGCAGTCACGAAAGCTCTAAATCGAAAGTTAAGAAATTCATTGTCTTGTTTTGACCGTTTTCAAGCAACACTCTGCGACGAGCTGAGTGGGAGGTGTAGCAGGCCGTGCCAGGTGTCAAACGAGCAGGGCCACCCACCTCCCAGAACCCCGGAGGTTGAGTTTCCGCTTGTGTATGATGAGTCTGGGGGTGTCTCTGCAGTATTATGGCTTCAGTGATTCGCGTCTGTAACCCCCACGGGTTTGTCCCCGAAATAAATAGGAGCGGATATATCGTGTCCCGCATTTAATGTTGTTCTTTTTGGAGAAAACTCATAATTTTTTTAAAGGGGGGGGGGGGGGGGACTACCCAAAAACGTTTATTATGTACAAATATACTTCCAGAATATATATTTTTTTAAACAGCTCAAAATTAACGACCCTTTCCCCTTTTGGTGAGAACCTCATCTGGTTTGGGACAGCAAGTCTGTTCTCCCATCTTTGATATCTCCTGCTTTTCATAACCGGTTTAGTTTATGTAGACGGTGTGTGTGTGTGCATCACAACGCGATGTAACGGGCCCTCACACTGTGCCTCAAAAAAAATTATCAGCTCAAAAAAAGCAAAGCTGACGTTAGCTGCATCTCCAAGCTGTGTCGGGAACATAACGCGCCAGATAGTCCAAGGTTAGAGCTCTATTGTACTCAACCACTGTAGCGATGAATTGTACGTTACCGCATTGGCTTGTAATTTTTCGTGGTTCCAGTAGTTTTTTTCTACGTTTCTCATTTGACGGATAGTAACGTTAAAATGTTAGAACCAGTGCATTACAAGGCTGTGAAGGGGCTGAATCTGCTCTTCATTGAAATAACGGTGTGTGGATTTTGAAGACGCCTTTCGCAGGGAATCCCACCACGACATTTGCCCGGTACATCAAGTCCACGCTGTATACTGAACGGTACTTCAAAGGAAGACACCTGGGTGAGAATGTATTAGAAGCGACGCCAGGTGTGTGAGTTGAACTTAGAGTGCCTCAATTGACAACTTTTGAGGAACTATTTAGACGATAGCATTTATACTTTTTCGCATTTCCCATGACTTTGAAGTAAGTTGCAAGTTACTTCAGCATTGATTGCCCCCCTCCGATGAGTTTTCAGGTTGTGCCACGTTCAGTATTGTTCGTCATGACGTCCGACGTTTCACTCCATGCGCTGGGTGCTTCTTCAGCGTGAGGAACTGAGTTTATTCAGTTCTCAGCACGTGGAGCGAAACGTCGGACAATGCACGGAACAACACGCGGTTCGACTCGGAAAAGCATCGGTCAAGCGACACAACACAGCCACGACAACCTAGGCATTGGTACTTTTCATTAAAAAAAGATAAATTAACGAAACAAATACCAAATACGTTTTTAGTAAGCCATCAGAATGAAGAAAGCGATACATGATTATTGCACCCCTTATATGTTGGAATTCGTTCAAGAATCGATGGTAAATAAATGTAACGAGTCAGATATGTGCATATACACATTACATAATAAATAATTTTAATGGTTATAGGTTAGAATAGGAAGTCTGGATCTCCTTTGCAAGAGCAATGCGGATTTTGTTGTAAAGAATGTAAAGAATATGGCACTGCAGGCTGCTCCTATATATGCAAGCACACACAAGATGCATACACCAGATGTTATTGTAATGTATTTATGTTGAACTTCTTACACACCGTACGTTGCCAACCGTGCTTACTGGAAGCGTAACAAATAACTACAGAAGTTTTTTTTTATAACCATGGTAACGTAACTTTAATAACAAAAATAATCAGTCCCTTCTTCAACTGCCGATAACCCAATGCTATAAGTTAGAATTCATATAATTTGTATCATCCTGTACAATACAATGTTGCCTTAATGATCGTAATCTCTTTGGGACAGCATTATGGTGCGTACAACAGAAACGGCTTTTTCCCGAAATTAATACAAAAATTGCACGAGGTTACGTTCATTTGAAATTTCGTTTTGCATAGAGGAACAGAACGGCATGAACACTTGAACAAAATTGGAGCGGGCTCATTTTTGAAAAGTTTTTTTGGCGGAGCCAATATCCACAAAAATGTCACTTGTGATATATCATTGTTTCCCAGTGCTTACTGCACGTGTCTCCTCGTATTGCCGTTTTCCATCTGCATTCAGACCTGGAGGACCCATTCGAAATGTGCTGAATCCAGCAGAGGCTGCCATGCATCCCCACCACCATTAGCAGCTGGCTCGGAGCAAAAAGACTTCCTCTTGAGGCAACATCCTCCAAAAGAGGTGCATGCCGATCTATATACATAAAATAATAGCAGAGAGTGGATTAATTTAATGGAATTATTATTTTTTATCCCAATTTCAGTTGAACATCTGTTGCTATACGCTGGCCGAGCACTTTGTAGTCTGCGTTCAATGACACTTGCTTCCTTATGAGGCTTTGATTCAGCCCTGTGATTAATTACCGGACAGGCAGCAATAGGTCCAATCACAATGCTATCTTGAGATACATTTGCACTTGTGGATTATACTTCATGACCTGTATCTGCTGAAGCAGCAACACAAGCTGATTAACATTTATTTTTCATACATTATTTTACACTTATCATTGGGCGAGCCGTTTAATCGCATTTTTTTTGTAATATTTAGCGCAGTCACTTATTTAATTACAGGAATTAATAACTTATGTACTGTATACATTAATCAATATACACATCGTACACAGAAAGCTGCATATAAAATATACCAACGTTCAAAGTACCCTACTGTACCGAATTCACATTTAAGTAGCGTCAAACCAATCACCTCTCCCATGTGTTTATGCATTTTGCCGCGTGTTGTTCAGCCTAATGTTCGACGTTTCTCTCCGTGTGCTGGAAGCTTCTGCAGGAGCACGCGGAGCGAAACGGAGAACAACGTGCCGAACAAAACACGTGGTACAACCCGAAAGCACTTCGGAAGGCAACACTTGCACAACCGCGAAAAACCTACGTAGTAGTAGTAGTAGTAAACCAATGACCCGTTTGCCACGCTCACAGTGGTAGCTGCGCAGGGCAGGCATGATCCCTGAATGATGGCGACAAGGGGAGTTGTGCTTTGCCGTGTCCCTGCAGTGGTAGGGATCACGCCGGCACTTTTGTCCCTCAGCTCTTCTGCACTGCAGAACGAGCCGTGCGCTTCACCAAAGGACGCGTGATGAAGCACTTGGCCGCCGGAGCGAAACTCAATGCTTGTGAAATCTGCAAAGAGGCAAAGTAAAGCGACGTAATCCGCACTCGGCATTGCGTCAAGATCAAGAGGTCGGGCGTGTCGTCGTGGCCAAAGCCGTCGATGCCATCACACTTTCGCGAATGCTTTCTGCTCTTTGGTGGGTCCCGCAGCTGCTGCACAGTAGAGACACGCGGTGGCCTCCAAGATCTGGCTTGACGGTCTCTCACCATCAGGTCTTAGGGCCTCGGCCCCCGGTCGCTGGACTCGTGGAGACCACTCCAATGCCTCTCCCGCAAAAACTGGCCTTTCTCCATCCCGCAACCTTTTTTTGTTGCCAAATAATTTCTACAACTGCATTAATAACATAAAAATAGAAACATTGCAATAGCAAATTGGAGGCCTTTATCAATCCACTGGTTGGTGAAGTCCTGCCCCCACCGTGTTGGTTGTGGGGGTTGTTTGACCATACTTCTCCATGCTGGTCAGTGCGGGCTGGTGAAGATGGGAGCCCAGGCTGGTTCAGTTATCACTCGTCAGGAATTAACCTCAGGTCAAATGGGTTTCTAGCGTAATGCACTAATCACTGCGCCACCGCACCGTAACACACCGCATATAATACATATTGGAATTTGTATCATACAAAGTGCTTCAAAAAATTATTAACAATACCACAAGAAATGTGCCTCCGGGCTTTGGAGACCACCTGGAGAAGATTCCAGGCAATGTGTTGACAATGATGGCGAACAAGTGGAGACTCTATGACTTTTTGAAGCTATTAACATACATGTGTTAACATGTTACAGTCTATTATCCGTTCTTTTTCCATTAAAAACGATAGTCCCGTATAAGTTTTAATATTTTTTTAAGCACCCTGTATGTTTTCATTGTGCACACTTTTGTCATTCACTGTTGGATGTTTCATTTCGTCATTAAATTTCGCCGGTGTGTTGCCTCTTACTTTAGATTACACGTGCACCTTAATGCTCTGTTAGTCAGTTTTAGCTCACCTGGATTCAATAACAATGACGATGTTGCTAAATGACTGAACGACGTGTGTACATCGGTGCACAAGTTCGAGATAAGGCCTTGGTCCCATAGCCTCCACAGTGCCTCTAGCTTCAAGACATGCACAGTGTAACATTTGGTGGGAAGTTGGGTTTCCACCTGCCCTGGTTTTCTCAGGATATTTACCATCTTGGGGAATATGTAAGTCTTCCAGGATATTCTAAGTCCCAGCGTATGTCAGTTGAGTAACAGAATGTACTCACTGGCGGAGCCAGTGGGGGGGGGGGGGGGGGGGGTGGCACGTGCCCCCCCAATGATCTGATAGAAATCCCTAATTTCGATCGGATCATTGGGGTTTATTTGTGATAAATCGGCATTTTGCGACCTCCACTGCCACTGTGTAGCATATTATTATGTGCCAGGGACTCTATGAGATGATAGGATAATAGTCCACAATTATACTATATTTAAAAGTTATCATGTAATAAAGTACGTTTTTTTTGCTCTGATCTATATTTGCTGCATTTCTGTACTTGGTTTTTCTTTTGCCATTTTAGTGACCCGGGTCACTCTTATAAATGAGACTCCTATCCTGGTTTCTGGAGTTATCACCTGGTGAAATAAACTTGACATTCCGAGTTCAACCTGGATCTGAGTTCACCCAATGCGGGGAAACGGAACCGTGGGGTCAGAGAGACCCAGGACCAACTTTGTATCACGTGCCACTCCAACTTTGTATCACGTGCCACTCCAATTTTGTATCACGTGCCACTCCAACTTTGCAAAAATCGAAACTCTTACATCACGACCAACCAAACAGGAGGGAAATGCACCCACAAGGACATTCTTCCTTGAAGATGGAACGATTAAACCGGCTCGTGTGCAGCCGCTCGATGGATTGTTCCAATGCAGAAGAGTCAGAGATGGCGCAGCTCAGGGAGGCCTTCATGGCTGACGCATTGAAATTGTAAAAAGTAACTGGAATTTATTGGCGTGAAATATATTACCGTACAATTGAAAAAATGAAATCGATAGTGATTTTGTCATTACTTCCATAGGTTCTGTTGGAGAGACAATAGCAACAATAATTTAAAGATCATTGCAATTAGCTGGGACAATACAGCTAATCTGGCTGAAGACTGCACGTCGTGGCCAAGCTGTGTCGCTCTTTCTGTACCGTGCAGCACAGAAACAGCGAGGGTACGTTTCGATTTAAAGCTTTCGTGACTGCAGGGATCCATCTTCTTGGTTCTTTCGGTAAAGTCACGTAGAATGGAAATAATAAAATAATAAAAATAAAACATAATAAAATAATTCGTAGTTGTATGGTGAATATGCAGCAGTGTGGTGTGCAGTAGGGTGGGTAGAATAATACATAGTGTAATATTACATAAATATGCTAAAATTCATATTGATATGCAAATTATTTTGTCAAGGCGCTCATCCTCCTCCCTCCCAGCTTAAATAGACGCTCCAAGCCCAGGACGTGTCATTCAGACTCTGTCTTATCGACAGACCTGTTCTTCACCTGAGGACGGCTGCTTGCGTTGTGGCCGAAACGTCGTGAGAATTATTTTATTATGTTTTATTTTTATTATTTTATTATTTCCATTCTACGTGACTTTACCGAAATAACCAAGAAGAGCGAGGGTACGGTTCAAGGCTCAACGACGTCGCGTCTCTGCAAGCTTCCTCACCTCCAGGGCTTTTTGTCGATGTCTATAAATCATCCGTAGACCTCACGCTCTCACTTTTCATTGAACCCCTTCCCAAGTGCCCTTTTCAACCCCCCCTCCCCCCCTCCAAGACTAAGCTTGTCCATCTTTGAATTCACAACTTGTTTTCTTTCGTAAGCAGAATTTTATTTTGGCCGATGCATCTGCCAGGGTTGCATGTCGGGGCGGGAAGACACCCACCAAGACACCCACCTTGTCTAGGGCCCTGCCAACAGCGGGGGAAGTGCGGGCCGGAACTCTTTATAATAACATCCTCTCGCGTGCAGATCGGCGGTCTTTCCGAGAGCACTATCTGCCACACGCTCTCATCTGGGGGGCCTTTCGCCGATTAAAAACGGGGACGAGATGGCTGCAGCGAAACAAACGTTGGCTGAAGGCAGAGCGACGGAGCGATGGGGTCGGGGAATGGGGCTGCCGAGTGAGCCTCCCCTGCTGAAAGCCACACATTTACACTCTCCTCAGTCACTTGACATGCTCCTCAGTCACCGCGTGACTTGTTGCGACGTTTCGCCATCCTATCCTGCTGAAGTTAACAAGATATCCTGCGTTCTGGGTTTTCGCCATTTGACCTGATTCTAATGCACGTTAGTCCGACAAACTTCCACGTGCGCGTTGATGATGCGTTTTGGCACTCCTCGCTATTTCTTTCCGTACAATTGTGTCGTGAGCCACGTGGTAATGACATATGCTATTTGAATCTATTGTTCGCAGGCTTTCCAGGCTGGGCGATTTGGTTACAATTGAGTTTAACATAAAAAAAAGAGCTGCTGTGAAATGTAATTTAGAAAAAGCAACCTTTCAAAAAGTTGTGCTCTTCTACTTTGCTTTGGCTCCACCCTGGCACATGGGACAGCTTTTGGCCTCGTTGGTCGAGTGCCCCCCCCCCCCCCAACTTCCCCCCTTCCCTGGCAGCCTGCTTGTTTAACAATTTACACCATCCCGTTGTACACCTTCTGTGGGGAGGCCTTCATCCAGCAGTAGATTGGCAAAGGAATGTAACGTGTCTTCTGCAATGATACATTCTAAGTAAAATTGCCAGAAAATATTGAAAAATATACACAAAGACAAAGATCCCCCGTATAGCCTTAACATAATTTTGGGCAAGTGCTGTTAGCGAGCAGCACCTATGAAGGCTGGCACGGCACACGATGGGGTGGGTGGCCAGCACTACGCCCGACCGCCTTTGTCTCCCCAGTGGCGATGCTTACTACACACCGCACCAGGTACTCATTTGAAGCCGAGTCAACCTAGGGGAGGCCCAGGACCGGTTCATATAATCGTCACCGGTGTTAGTCGTGAGCGGGTCGCCGGGTTCGTACCGCTATACACCGCACCCCACACACACAACATTTTTTTGAAGTAATGTTGTGTTTACTATTAATGTCTTGTATTATATCTACATGTATGAATTTGGATGAATTTATTCTCTTGTTTACATTTGTAATTGTTTCCTGCACGGAACTATGTATTTTACTGCGGCTTAGTTGTTTTTGTTGCATCCTAGTTATCCACTGAAATATCAACTTTCGTTGATATTTGCGTGAGCATAAAACAGAACTTCTTGGTTCTTTCGGTAAAGTCACGTCGAAGGTAAGTAATAAAATAATAAAAATAAAACATAAAAAATATATATATTTTGTTATATATTATTTTATTACGTTCTATTTTTATTTATATCGTTTTTTTTATATTATTTTATTATATTTTATTTTTATTATTTTATTACTTACCTTCTATGTGACTTTACCGAAAGAACCAAGAAGATGAATCCCTGCAGTCACGAAAGCTTTAAATCGAAACACTTGTGTATGTTTGTCTGTATTTATGTATGCATGTGTTGAGGAGTAGAGTGATGACGGGATGTCACACTCGCCTCGGGAGGAGTGACGTCATGTCCCCTCGGGGTATATGAGGGGGGACCGGTGACGTAGAGGGGCTCTTCGCCGGGAGCCAGGAACCGGAGCGGTAGGGGAGTAGGGACCCCGGGTAAAAGGGGAATTAGCGCCAGGCTAGAGGCCTACTTTACCCGGCTGGCCGAGTTGGCTGAGCCCTCGACCAGTGCTGAGGGAAGAGCCCGATAGCCTGGTAGGGCGTAGGGAATTCCCAGTACCCTTCCCCTGGGGAGTATAGCTTAGCCCATAGTTGTGTTAACCCTTCCCCCCAAGTTAGGCGTAAGCCCGAAATAAACAGTTTGGCGTTAGCCCCTATACAACTTGCCTTCGCGTCGTTCTTCACCACACAACACATGTGTAATGTGAGGATATATCTGGGTCGTTGACGGATTACAACTCGTCACGATGATTGGCTCTGCCGGTCCTGGTCCGCAGCCAATGGGGGGAAGCCTAGGGGCGTAGCCCTGACGTAATGGAAAGGTGACAGCTGTAGGTAGAGGATTGGTTCTGCTGGCTTTAGCCACAGCCAATGGGGAGACGAGTCAGGGACGTGGTCCTTACGGTGGAGTCTGGAAGATTCCATAGAGGCTAACCAGGATTGGTGGAAACGTGCCACGTGACCCAGGTATTAAATAGGGGTGGAGACGAACAACACGTGGTCAGAACTGGAACGAACGAAGTGGAGAGGCCACGCGAGAGCGGGGGTCCAGGCTGCCACGTGGCTGCGCGCGTCTCTCTCTTGTATATATATGTCAATGTACACCTGCATGTGTGTCACGTAATGCATTTCTGATGGCAGTAATCATCCATGGCAGACGACAGTGACCAAAGGAAGAGATGCAGGGTGGTATTACCTTGTAAACTGCTTGCTTGACTCATGCACCTCCATCTCCGAGCTCTTGAACTCATTGAGTTCTCGCCGGATGGCAGCCTGGACACGCGGCACGCGCAGCCGTTCAGTCAGCAGAGACAAATTAGGTTCATGGTGGGGGTGGGGGGGGGCTTGGGGCTGAGATATTTTATTTTTTGTGGGGGGGCTCTTTGTTAAATTCCTTCCCCTTGACTGTCTTAACCCCCCCCTCTACCCACACTAAACACCAAACACTCCATTGTTATTTTTCACCATGGTTACTTCAGTTCGAGTTTATAAATGAGATATACGAAACGTTCAAAGCCAAGGTCACAGTTAAAACGGACAAAACCTTGAATTTTGGAACACAACCGGTCGGAAGTACGCATATGCTTTGGCATCAACGACTAAATGATAGTGCCTACTCTATTGGGTTTCAAGGGTTATGAAGCAGTTCGTCCAGATTACTTTCCTTCTGGGCTTCGCCAAAATCCAAGGCACCACCGGGGCTGCAGGCACGAAAGCGCCCCCCGCGTTAATCGAGCGCTGGTCACGGCACGAGCATTCGAGCTCGCCGACGGACGGACAAGCACTTGCAATGGACGGACACTGTGGTCACAAATCATTTCGCGGCACTCCGTCTACTTTGTGACACGGCGGTTCAAGTACAGAGGCCCACACATGAAGCCGGGCTCGCTGTGCTTGCCAGTTCCACTTGACTCTCGTTGTTTCATCTGCTGTTGTTGTTCTTGTTGTCGAGGGCACTTAGCGCATTATTCTCACTGTAATTCACTCGTTTGTGCCCAAGGTATGTAAAATTGTGTTTTATGTTTCGATTTAAAGCTTTCGTGACTGCAGGGATTCATCTTCTTGGTTCTTTCGGTAAAGTCACGTAGAAGGGAAATAATAAAATAATAAAAATAAAACATAATTAAATAAAATTCTCACGACGTTACGGCCACAGCTGACGATGGCTGCTTGCGTTGTGGCCGAAACGTCGTGAGAATTATTGTATTATGTTTTATTTTTATTATTTTATTATTTCCCTTCTACGTGACTTTACCGAAAGAACCAAGAAGTTGTGTTTTATGCTCACGCAGAAACTCTGGCTAATCCCTCAAATTTGGCTGCTCGTTTGGGAAAGTTTCTGGGAGGTCCGCGCGGCACATCAAAGTGGGTTTTGAGAGGCGGCAGGGATATGGATGGGCACCGCGGGGGTGTCAGTGCGGGTGGTTCTGCGCTGGGGTTTCCTCCGACGCGCTTTCCCAAACTTGCGGCCGGAAAAAAAATTCCTCACGCCACCCTTGCAGGGTTAGACCGTGGTGTGACGATTCGCACCTCCGGTTAGCACGGTTGGCTATGTACGGTGCAAAAGAAGTTCAACGTACATACGTACTTGCTGCTGCTGCACATAAACTAAAATGTAAACGGGGACAATCTATAACGGATGTGAAACAAATACATCAACCTCCCTTCTGTATCTACACGCAAGCATATTCTATGTCTTGTCTATTGGCCGTTGGGCCTTTGAGACTCATCTAATACAACAACATTTGCTTACAGGTGCATACCAACGGGGTCTCATCGGTTGAGTCAGGCTTGTTAAATAGATGACTTCTGGATTACTAGATGGCATTCATGAGAACACCTCATGAGGTTACCGGTTTAATCTCCCAGAACGGGAGTTGAAGAAATGGTGCAAACCTCTTACCCCCCCCCCCGCACCGCCACCACCGACTCTGACCACCCAGCAGTAGAAACGTGTGCACCGCTTGTTCGACGGGCAGGTTGCCTGTGGTGGGGTCAATTGTGGGTTTTCCCAATTCTTCCAAGGCATCTGGCCAGCGTGGAAGAGTAGACAAAAAATGATCTCTCTCTCTCTTTTACAGGAGCTCTATCTTGTGGAGGCCTTTCTCTGCCAACAGTGGCGTGAGCAAAGCAATTGCAGGGCTGCACCTGTACCTGTCCGTGACCTGTCTGCACCACTGACAACGCCTAGGGAGGAAGACTCCCGCGCAGATGTTCCTGGACACGCGTGTACGGCGCCCGGTGCGAGCTTCAACGAGCAGACGTGTTACAGCTGCCTTTTGTAACACAATTCCTCTGTTGCCATATGATTGCATTACAAAAGGATTTCCTGTGCTTAAAGGAATTGCCGGAATGACACTCTTTCCTTCCATCTGTCTGCTTGCTCATTTCCCCCCATCACCCCCCCTCGCCCAATTTTTGTATAAATGCAACTAAATAAGGGCATGAGTATATAGCAATGTGTTTTTTATATATATGAGTGATACGATGCACTATGGAGATTGAGTTGCGGATTTATGCGTGCATGCATGCATACATTATTAAGCAGGGATATCCCATTGAAGTCACAAGTGCAGAGAAACACGTACGCGTTAGTTCGTCTGTGCCGTGATGGTGGTGGTAGTGCTGGCCACAATTTTGGGGGGCCCTAAACGGAAATAAATTTTGGCGTCCCCCACTTTCAATTCATGAAATCACAGTAAATGCGACAACAAGAGATATAGACACGTGATAGAGATGTGGTGAGATGGGAGGCAGGTAGATGCAGAAAAGATTGGGGTGAGAGATAAATTGGTGTTTTATGTACATCTTTCCGTTACATTTACTGTATACGGATATGGATTGAAGCTGATATTTGGTTCACCCCTCTATTACAATGAGCTGCTTAGGGCTCTAATCGTTTGCTTATGTCTAGCAGTAGCAGCAGCAGCACCACCACCTCCGGGTGCAGCTATCGAGTGCACAGGCAGTGCGATTGCACCGAGGCGCGTGGGTCAGAGAGGCCCAGGCACCGGGGTACGAGGAGGATGCGTCCTCTTTAACTCCTTCGCATCGCACCACACAACTCGATCGCTCGTCACCATCCCGACCCGGGGTTTTATTCAGGTTCACCCAATATTTGTGGCAGCCTCATGCATTGCACTGCGTGGATAATCCCAGATTATGGTGAAATAGCACCACCGATTAGCAACGGTTGACTACGTACGGCGTGAAAGAAGTTCAACGTACGCACGTACACACTGCAAGGACTCGTGTGCGTCGTTCAAATGTGGCCATGGAGGTTGTCAATTACACGGCCGCTGGAATGTAAAACGTGTAAAGGCGTGTAGTGGCAACGACCGCAGCCCCTGCGGCAAGATGCCACATCTCTCACGAGTCGTCACCGTTAGCCAAGGTTTATCCGCTGCTTGATGAAGATATTTTCATCCCCGGCCCTTACAATTCTGCAATAGCTACAATCCGTTTGTCTCCTGGCTATGGGCCGATCTCATGGCCCTGTCGAGTGCGTGCCACCCTTTGGCTGCTATTCACTGCAAACCCCAAATATACAGGAGGCGTCAGGGTTGGGATCGAACCCACGACCTCCTGCATACCAGGCGAGGTAGTTCACATCTCGACAGCTCTTCACCTCGTTGCAGATGTCTAGGGGGTGTGCGTGGGTGGGGTTGTGCGTGGGTGGGGGGGGGGGGTGTGCGTGGGTGGGGGTGTGCGTGGGTGGGGGTGTGCGTGGGTGGGGGGGGTGTGCGTGGGTGGGGGTGTGCGTAGGTGGGGGTGTGCGTGGGTGGGGGTGTGCGTAGGTGGGGGTGTGCGTGGGTGGGGGTGTGTGTGGGTTGGGGGGGGTGTGCGTGGTTGGGGGGGGGTGTGCGTGGGTGGGGGGGTGTCAGTGGATGGGGGTGTGCATGGGTGGGGGGGTGTGCGTGGGTGGGGGGGTGTGAGTGGATGGGGGTGTGCATGCGTGGGGGGGTGTGAGTGGGGTGGGGTGTGCGTGGGTGGGGGGGGTGTGCGCGTGGGTGGGTGGGGGGTGTGCGTGGGTGGGGGGGTGTGCGTGGGTGGGGGGGGGTGTGAGTGGGTGGGTGGGGGTGTGAGTGGATGGGTGGGCGGTGTGCGTGGGTGGGCGGGTGCTTGCCTTGTCAGCCGAAGAGAGTCGAGTCCACGGCTTGTCCGCCCTCCGGTCGTAGTCCTGAGCTGCGGCCACCTCCACGTAGTCGTTGAATCGAATGAGGATCCTCTTCTCGCGCAGCTCCTCCACCGTGGGTCTCTCGCTGAGCTGCAGGGGGGAGATTGGAGCATCACCTTTGACATCATCCAGATTGAAAACTCATTTCCTTAGAACTGCTTTTTGCGTTTAGTGTTTGTCGCCCCCCCCGCACCTCCGATTAGCACGGTTGGCTACGTACGGTGCAAAAGAAGTTCAACGTACATACGTACCTGCTGCTGCTGCACATAAACTAAAATGTAAACGGGGACAATCTATAAAGGACGTAAACAAATACATCAACATCCCTTCTGTAGCTACACGCAAGCATATTCTATGTCTTGTCTATTGGCCGTTGGGCCTTCGAGACTCATCTAATACAACAGCATTTGCTTACAGGTACATACCTACGGGGTCTCAACCCTAGAATCAGGCTTGTTCAATAGTTGACTTCTGGATTATTAGATGGCATTCATGAGAACACCTCTTCTGAAATAACTGGGCCCTGTCTGTACAAACTAAAACATGTGTGCATGAAGACTCATTATGACGCTGGAGCGAAGCATTCTGGAACATTAATAAATAACATGTACAACGCAATCTCAATTTCACACCTGTGGTTAGCACGGTTGGCTACGTACGGTGCGAAAGAAGTCCAACATCTTACCTATATATAATTGTGCATCTCTGCATAAAACTAAATCATTTTCAGTCAAACGTAGCCTGGTGGCTCAGAGGTCGGAGGCCCTGGGGGATTGCCTGTGATTAAACTGCGTTCTCAAGTGTAGTAAAGTTGATGGTCTCTGTCCACATCACCAATGATTGCACAATACAAATTGTAATGCAATAAATGTTTGGGCCACAATTGCATTTAATGCAACGGTGAGATAATATTCGTAAATAATATCACACACTGCCAAGTTTTTCGACTGATTTCCTTAACCGCAATTCGAAACGCATGTGCCTAGGCTGATGATTATTAAGATCCAAGTCACTAACCAATGCATTAAATTCCCCCAATCACACAAATGTAGCACATCACAACCAGTCTTAATCCAAGTGTGGTAATCCGAGAGAGGCCGTGTCACCTAATCTGGAAGATCGCACCTGGATTAACATTAATCTGTTAATATTTTCTACTTTTATAGGTCCAAAAAGTCACAACAAAACCAACAATCTCATATCCTGGAGATTTCCAGGTCTGGGGCTGATACGGTGGTGTCGCCTGGAGATCATTGTGGCCTCAGCCCTGTTGCGAGACATTGCGTGAAGGGGGGGGGGGGGTGCATACAGAAATCTCAGGTGAGCACCACACAGCCAATGTCAAAAGATCTTTAAACAAACGTGAAAGGCTCATGAGAATGAGTAACGATGTGACCTGCTTTTGTCTACGGTGCAGTCTGCCCTGGCTCTCACCCCCTGCGTGCGTGAGAAAATGCTGCGAAGCTCATCGCACAATCGACACAGGTGTTAAACACTGTGGCGACTTGTTTGGACGTGCCTATAAAAATATTAAAGAGGCGGGGGGCTGACCCTTCAACAGAGGAAGCTCAGGCTCCCTGCCCCCCCGTTGGTGCTCCAGGGCTGTGTGGCCTGCCCGCCCGCCTGCCCGCCCAGTGGGTGTGCCATGCAGAGGGCATTGGAGCATGAGGCTACGTGAGATGCAAAGGTTTTCCGGCGTGGCGAGCACCGGAACACGTGGAGGGAGGCAGGCAGGTGGAACGACGGGCAGCGCTCTCTTACTTTCCTCGAGAGCCTGCGCTTGATTTCTTTCTTCTCCTCGTCTCGCTCCTCAGCTTCGTTCTTCTCTGAGGAGGGTGGGGGGGGAGATTAATGCATAAATGAACAATGTCATCACCATGACTCTGAGCCAAATAACGTCGTTATGCATCTTTGTTTTGAAGGATGTTCCTGCTTTCAAATGTTTGGTTAATGTAGAAATGTACTAGACGCACGCATGCACGCACGCGCAAAACCCAACAATAACAATGTCTAGTGGCTATGAGTTAAATTAGATAACGTTTGAAATGTGAGCTATTTGGTTGAGACCCCAAAAAAAACACACATAACAGCCCATGACATTCCAGTGAAACACTATTGGAGGAAGGAGAAATTACATCCTTCACAAAACTTTATTTGCGATTTTAAAATATTTCTTTGCGTAAAAAATACATTTTAATTAATGTATATGTCCACACACAGCCCCTTTGTTAACCCGTTGTCAGACGAGGTCTTGCACACACCATGTGTTCCGGGGGTTGATTTGACCATACTTCACCACGCAAGTCAGAACACGTTGGTGAAGTCGAACATAGAATGCGTAATAAAGTATTTTTTTGGGGTTAGATCGCGTAAGTATAAATGTGTCGTAATCCTCCACCACCCGACACAGCCAATAAGTAAGGGATTTGTCACGTAAACAAAACGCGCCAAATAGTTACTACTTCAGCACACCGGTGTGTTGGAGAGTAAATCCACAACGTTTACAATTTGAGTAGTACGACGTTTCGCTGGTAATTACATCCATCAGACGTAAATGTTTCTGCAGCTTCAGTAGGAAGCTTAATTGGCATGTTGAGCGAAACGTTGGACATCATGTCAGACGGAAACACGTGGTGCAACCTGAAAACACATCTGGAAACGTATTTTAACCTTACTTTTTGCTCATATTTTTAGTAAACCAAATCAGCTCTTCACAAACGGAAGCAGCGTTGTGAAATTTCAATAAGGTCTGAGGTGCACAATTCACAATGCCATTCTTCGTTGCAAACATTAGTTGTTCTCAATGAAGGATATATAAAGTGTGATCAGGGCTTAATTATATCCAGGTCTCTCTAGATCGGCGAGTCGGAATATATTTCCGCACGTGGCACATCTAATGTACTCCTCGCAATGGCTGTGGCGACTAGTCATGCGCGTGCCACATCCCCCCGGTATACCGGAGACTTGGAAAATATTAATTGAGAAATTAAGCCCTGAGCATTATCATTGCGGTTCCTTTCTTCTAAGCTGGCTATCAAATGCGGCTCAATTTATGGCTGCATGGCTGGTATGGTGTTACCAACCCATATACACCCGAAGCTTTATCTGACCCCATGGGAATCGATGCAGAAAACACGTACAAATCCGACTTACAATGGAATTGATGATATCCGAAGGCATGTATAATGCTTATTAAGGGAGTTTAGGTTTAAATTATTTTAAAAATCTCTTTTCATCTCTCGACTCAGGTCAGACGGCACTCAGATCTGAGCACTGAAAGGCACTTAAGTGTCGGGAGCCTTGCCTAGGTTTTATCGCAGCAGAGTAAGCAATCCCCTCTCGGGCAACCTGCCAACCACCCTCTCTTTCCCCTTCTTTGCACGCACACACACATTCACACACCCATCACAGCCCAGCCGCCCTCCACACCCACGCTCATGTACAACAAAACGCGCAACCACATGCACACGCGGCCAACAAAGACGAATATTCCCTACTAGCCTTTTGCCCGTCCAAGGACGGGTGCGTTTGAGTAAATCTGAAACTTGCAAGCGAAAAGCAGACCGCGACGTGATATCCATTGCATCAATTCGTGTGCAACTTGTAAGGCCGCGGTGACACAGACCTATTTCATTTAAAGGTTTTCATCCCTTGTCCATCATGACGTCCTTTGTACTTCTATGTCTCAACAGCGTTATGGATATCACGTGACATGAGGGTTCTGCCCTTGTAGTGAGGGTTGTGAGATGACGCCGAGGAGGGGAGAGGAGGCGCCTCGCCCCCCCCCCCCATGTGGAGTGGGGGGGGGGGGTCCATTTGGAAGACGTCACCTCTTCATGAGTATTAATGAGGGGGGTTGGCCGACGTGGAATGACGTCACGCGCGGGACACACAGACATTCTTGGCTCATTATAGTAGTAAATACGGTATAGCCCAGAGGTCAGCAACCTGCGGGTCCAGAGCCGCACGTGGCTCTTTAAGGACCGCTTAGTGACGTTGCTTGTTAATGACCTCCGTCTCGTGTTCACGCGCATTTGTGGCATGAATTCGAAATAAAAAAAAAAATCTCTTTTTGTTATCGACCGTTTAGTTGAATATCATACGAAGAGCACGTTTCCGCAATCGTGTGTGGATAAAAAATGGTCCCTTGAAGTGATATCGGAAACTATTTCGATGAAAACCTCGTCCCGTGGGACGTTTTCTAACACGCGGGGTGTGCACAATTGGTCCGCCAGAGTTCCGATTGTATTCTTAATCTCACGCTATGGCACCCCCCTGATGGCACATTTGAATGAAATTTGGAGAGGAAAAAAACCCCCCAAAAATATGCACTACGGAGAATAGGGAATTGCACGCGACGGAGGGAGGGCTCTGTGATAGAATGGCTATCGATCCAGTGCCAACCATTGTACGGGCTTCACAGGTGCAGCTGGTCATCTCTCTTTTGGGAAATAACATTGGGTCGTTGGCACTGTGGTGCTGACTAGACTTATAGAATGAGAGCATCGATACGTAAGTAATAGGCAATCAGGTATTGCTCTTGGGCAATGTGACGTGTGCTTAAATCAATTAATGGAAATTGCAATGCTCAAGGAGAGGTGGAAATCTATTTTGGCCACGAGCAGAGGGGAGAGCTTTGCATTAAACGTGCACGGTGCATTTTTTCCCCTCTTGAGTTTGAATAAAAAACACATGTTCCCGTCTTGAAAATAACGGCTCTTGGAAAAAGCAAACCAGGGAGAAACCTGCGGTTCTTGGACGACAATTGGAAGGAGGAAGTCTTCATTACGTGAGCGACAACACCCAACACTCGGAATATTCCACTCGCGCGAAGTTTACAAAAACATTAAAAAAACACAGCAGTCACAATCGTTATTCCAGTGCAATGTTAAGTCATCTTCCAATTTGTGGTTCAGTTTTAAAAAAACCCAAGTATTTTTCTCTGTTAAGTGCGCGACCATAAGTGGCCGCCCAGATCACAGAGCTGCGGGGAGGAGCGATGGGAATTTTGGTCGTTTTTAAGTGAAAGGTGCAACTCTGGTATCCCTTGCTCACACCACTGCTGGGAGAATGAACTCACCGAGATGCACAATTTTTTTCGTTAGCTTACTCTTCCACACCGGCCGGATGTGCTGGCCAACCGGCCTGCCGATCTATGAATTGTGTTGCACCAATTTTATTGCGCGAGGTGGGTAGGGGCAGACAGGTGTGACCTGCTTTTGTCGATGGTGCATTCTGCCTTGGCTCTCACCCCCCTGCGTGCGCGAGGAAATGCTGCGAAGCTCATCGCACAACCGACACAGGTGTTAAACACTGTGGCCACTTGTTTGGACGTGCCTATAAAAATATTAAAGAGGCGGGGGGGGGGGGCTGACCCTTCAACAGAGGAAGCTCAGGCTCCCTGCCCCCTCCCAGCCCCCCTGTTGGTGCTCCAGGGCTGTGTGGCCTGCCCACCCGCCTGCCCGCCCAGTGGGTGTGCCGTGCAGAGGGCATTGGAGCGTGAGACAACGTGAGATACAAAGGTGTTCCGACGCGGCGAGCACCCGAACGCGTTTAACTCGGTGAGAAGCCACGGGAGCAATCTGGGGAATTCGTCTGCCAGTCGGGAGGCGATGATTGCTATGCGCAATCCCAATTGGGTAACGTGTGGGAATTTTTTTTCGAATTTGGAAAATTTGCACCACGATGCCGGCACACAGAAGGCGCCAGGGGAATCTTGAACGTCCGCTGTGAAGCAGACGGCGGCGTATTACTACGGCCATTGTGGTATTAATCAGGGCGGCCGCTGGATACGAACCGCCAACCTCTGCAACAAGCGGTGAAAGCTTGTTTGGCACGGTTGGCATCATACGGTGTGAAAGAGCTCAACATAATACTGTACATACAAAGCGCTAACACTGGGCTGTGTGTCACCGCCCGCGCTTTGAGATGGTGGCAGCCATGCGCATACGTGATGGGTGACATTTTTCTGGCATTGCCACATTCCAGATTTCAGTGTGGCCACAATCTAAAATTCCTTTGAGCAGTCAGAGTAAAATGTTAAACGTGAGTTGAGGTCGCTCTGCGTGCAAAAAAAACCCCACCCATAAATCCTGGTATTTATTTATGTTCAAGAGTTTATTCGCACGGAATTGCCACTATCTGCCATTATTGCAGTGAAAAAGACGTGCAGCCTTGTTGAACCATTGTACGGCTGAATTATTGCACAGAGCTACAACCCCGATGTGCGCTTACACGTCTCCTAGCATTCTTTGCTTCCGACCGCACAGAGCAGTTTAAAGCAGAGATTTGTGTTGCCCCTGCCTTTCCTCTCCCTTGCAATGGTAGGAGCCTGCCAAACCACTACGCACTGCAAGCTCCAACCCACCAAAGGGAAGGTTACGAGAATTAAATTACTGCACCTCTCTATGGCACGTCGTTGTTGTCAGCCTGTGACTTGCTCGGTGAAAGGCCAGGGAGCTCTTTGGTATTCAGGGGATGGTATTGCATGCCTGTAATCCAGCACTGTGGAGGTGAAGGTTTGTGCCTCATGCGGACGTTACGAAAATCCATTCCCACAGGCTTTCCAGGAAAAGGCGGTACAGAGCTAAGTGTGGACTAATGTCCGTATGTTCCATCTGCATGGAATCGAGCGTTGTCCCCTCACATGCGTGGCTTTTCTCCAGGTACTCCTGTTTTTTTCCCACGTGTATCATTTGTGGCCAGGTCACTTCTGAAAAAGGGCTATTTAGTTCAGTGGGCCTTAACTGGTGAAATAAAACAAATGTTTAGCTTCATGGTTTAGTTTTAGTTGCTGAAGAAGCATCCAGTACGTGCAAAGGGCCAAGCGGCAACAACGCAGAAACAAGGAGCCGGACAGAACAAGAACCCACATGGTGGGAGGGAGGGGGGGGGGGTACAGTCATTGTCGTGTCCATACTCACGCCGTAGGATGTTTCTCTGCTCCAGCTCCTCGGCTGTGGGCCTCAGACTCAGCCTCCTGCACACAAGGACAACCGCGATGGTCCGGTGAGAGAGACGCCATCGCCTTACAACTCGGGCTGAGGCTAAATCATTTTTGACAATTACAAGATGATACACATTCTCAGGGTGCGTCGATCATCACAACATCAGTTTCCTGTCACTTTGAAATTGCGTTTATAATTTTTATTGTATTATTTTGGTACTACGCTGTACATTCAGTGAAACCAAAAGCGTGAATAAGCATAACTCCATTCTATGTCTCTACATATAAATAAAAACACGTTTTGATCCATTGGTCTCTTGGCTTTCCAGACCAATATAATTATTCAACTGCATTTGAGTAAGCAAACTTAGGACCTTTCCTGACTGTTTGTGTCTCACCAGCAGTCAGGCTTGTTGAACAATTTCTCCAGGGCTACCGGATGTTATTGGCACAAGTACTCCATCTAAAGATTGATACACGTTCTTTAACTGTAGTTCATGCAATGTAACCCTGCAAAGAGTCTTCTAATCCCTGCAACTTTACAATCTAAAATTTCTTACATGCACAACCACAAGAAATCCTGAAATAATTAACTGATCTATGAAAATAATGACGTCACGTAATAGCCCCATCAATTACTGTCAATTGCTCTGGGAAAAAAGTTTTGCAAAGAACCACTGTCATTTCTCACGGGCGATAGGTAATAATGAATCATTGTAATGGACACGTTGGTCAATTATAAGCATTCGTCGCCAAAATGTTGTTTTCATACGTAACAACAATCACGATCTGACGATAATGTTTTAAACGGACGACACGAATATCGTGGACCTCATTTTGCACGAGATGTCTTGGAACTAACAACTAAACTCTTTATTTTACCAGGTAATGCCCACTGAGCTATGTAGCTCCTTTTCAGAACGGAAGTGGCTTCTCAGCACGTGGGAATTTATAGCAGCCAAATACTCTAAAACGTGTGTTGTTGATTCTAGATGTGGAGGGAAAAACCAGAGGACCCGGAGAAAAATACACGCGACCACGGGGAGAGAGAACACGAAAACTCTACATATACAGCAGGCATCAGGGTCAGGGTCGAGTCCACGACCTCCTGTATACCAGGCGAGGGAGTTAACATCTCCAAGCCACCGTGATGATGATGAGAGAGAGACAAACTCAAAATTCACAGCAGGCATCGTCAGGGTCGGGATCTGAATCGAACCCTCAACCTCCTGTATACCAGGTGAGGTTGTTAACATCTCCTAGCCACCGTGATGATGATGATGAGAGAGAGACACACAAGCTCAAAATTCACAGCAGGCATCGTCAGGGTCGGGATCGAACCCACGACCTCCTGCATACCAGGCGAGGTAGTTAACATCTGCCACTGCGGCGCCCTCTTAATTTTGGCACATCGCGGCAACCCTCATTGCCACCGCAGCAGCCTCCTCTCCACCTTTCCTCATCGCGAATCGCAGCTGCTTGGCTTCCACACGGTCCCGCGTAAACATTTATTCCGCTAGCGGCCACGTTCACGTTCACACGCAGAATGACAATGTACAGACAGCCCTTTTGTCAAGCCACTGCTGGATGAAGGCTTCCTTGTGCCGTGTCAGCCATGGGCGTGTATGCGATGTACTTCTCAATGATGGGCAGTGCAGGTTGATTCAGAATGTGACCCAGGACCGGTTCGAACATTATTCGCAACTCATGTTTGCCTTGGTTGTCACTGCGTCGTTGCTCTTGACAGCCATTGATGATATTGGGGGGGCGGGGGGATACGTCCGCTGATAGAGATGGAGCAATGAAATCAGCTCGGCGTGCAGGTATCATGACGATGATATGACATCGTAGGGATCAAGGCCTGGCGAGGCATCCATCCTGCAGTGGCGAAGGGCAATGCTGAATATTAGCATGGGCAGTTATCGAACATGGGTCGCCGGATTCACGGTGCAGTGCGTCAACCACTGCGCCACTGCTCCCCAACATGGGAAATACGTGACCGCAGTTGTGTATGGCACTGTGTGTGCTGGTTACGTTGCAATGCCGTCACTTGTCATCCTTCCCTTGCGCGGGGGGGTAATTTAAGACCCTCTTTGCGTCATTGAAATTTGGTGCCGATTTAAACAGTTGGGCAGAGCTTCTCAAACTCGGGCAACTGATGTGGTGTGTGATAATCCACAGCCTCCAAATGGACAAACTAACCATGAATTCCATTGTTCTAAGCATACAACGACAAAGGACCCCCGTATAGCCTTTAATAGACTAATGGGGCAAGTGCTGTTCGTGAGCGCCTATGAAGGCCAGTATAGCACACGAGGGGGTGGGTGGCCAACGCTTTGCCTGGCAGCCTTTGTCTCCCCATTGTTGATGTTTCCACACATTACTAGGTACCCATTTAAGACTGACATACTCACATACACGGGTCCTCCATAAAATCTTACACAGATTTTATGGCCGTGAACAGAACTCGGGTCGCCAGGTTCGAAGCGTAACGCGCTAACCGCTACACAACTGCTCTGCTTTATCTCCACTGCACACATACGCAGTCACACACACACACAGAAGTAAGTGTTCAAACAAGCGAGGAATTACAATTAAAAAGTCAACAGTGGAAAGGAGTCTGCCGGTGTCGTTAGCGTGGCAAACGCATCATTCCAAAAGGGTCAAATGATTCAGCAAGAAAAAAATTTACCCGTAAAAACAAAGTTTTTCACTATAAATCCTTTATATGCGTGGCGGCTAGAGTCCTCTCGTCCTCTGGCTTGAGATGGCTGCCACCTATGGGTCAGATGATTGCCTGCCACCATTCAGCAATTGGTAATTAAATATAAAAAAAAATTCCTAAAAAGTGTAACATTTTGGAAAAAAATTTTCACGAAAATAAATTGTCACGCACAACGAGTATGTGTGCAAAATGTCAGCTCGATTGGATCACGGGAAGTGGGTTAAAAAAACGACCGAAAGATTTGCACGGTCGTAAGCGCGCAAGCAAGTGAACTTAATATAAAGGATTTTAAAAAGGCAGATCTCCCTTGCCTCGGAAGATCTGAACTGTATATGCTGAACGGATGCTGACAGACGGAGTTTGTGGCGGGAGTTGCTTTAGCAGAGCCAGCTACTGTGTCGGAAACAAATTGTTTCTGGATTTTGGCTATTTGTTATCCTATTCTCAGCTGAAAGACACACACACGTAGCCATGTTCCTATTTTTTTATTGGCTTGTCGTCTTTCAGCACGTGAAGAAATAATCCGCTAAACCCTCAAATGTTTGTTTCTGCGCTTACGAAGTTTGACCTTCTGTTTTGAAAACGAACCTCATCACAAATTTAAGCACGGCCCTTTCAACCTTCAGAAATGTACAAAGATGATGCATAAATTAGGGCTTTTCGTGTTGCGTTTTAACACCTGATCGCATTGCCGCCAGTGTGGTGGCTTGGCTTAAAAGTGAAAATCTCGCGTGCACGCCACTGGACACAGCGGTGTTTGTGCTGAACCATTAAAGCCAAACAAGGGGATAAGAGTTATTGCACTGTGCATTGTTCCGATACTCATGATACTTTTCTTTGCTCTGTCAGGTTCGTAAATAGCATACAATACTACAACTACTTGGATTTATAGGGCCTCTGCTGGGGTGTCAATGGACTTGAAATGCAGACGTTGCTTGGTTTGACCCTCCGTGCGTCCGTTTAAAACAACGGTGCAAGCTCCCTCAATGCCCCACGCCTCTTTCCACCCAGCAGTATAAGTGGGGCAAATGAGAATTCATCAAGCAACCATTTTTCCTTTTCAAAGAGAAGAGATAGCCATAGGCAGAGGAGAAGAGGAGGATCTGGAACTGGGACTTGAATGTAAGCAGGCTGTTGACCGCTCGTATGGCCGGCTGGAGGGAGTTCCAGACCCCAGGGGCAGCAGAGGAGAAAGAGTGACCTCCCACAGAGCAAAGGTTGACCCGAAGCTTCGAGTGGTTCCTGGAGTGGAACGTGCGTAACCGGTTGCACAGTGAAACGAGAAGGGACACTTTACATCAATGATGGACATGCTACTTTGCATGGTAATGATGCAGATGTTCCTGGCATAATAGATGCGAGTAAAACTTAAGGAGATGTACAGCTTTTGGTCGATGAAGTGGTGGAAATTGGAAGTTGTTCTTGCCCTGGTCATATTTAAAATGTTACGAACATAAACACCGCTTATTCCAGAACAAACCTCTTCTTGTATGACCGCAACACAATATAATTTCAGACGGTCTAGGAAACATGCTCATATAAAATGTTACTGATCATGTTGTGTTATATTTCGATTGAAAGCTTTCGTGACTGCAGGGATTCATCTTCTTGGTTCTTTCGGTAAAGTCACGTAGAAGGGAAATAATAAAATAATAAAAATAAAACATTATAAAATAATTCTCACGACGTTTCGGCCACAACGCAAGCAGCCGTCCTGAGGATATTTTATTATTTCCCTTCTACGTGACTTTACCGAAAGAACCAAGAAGATGTTGTGTTATGTTTGGATTATCTCACACCTCCTCATACACCCTCTCTCCTCTCCTCGGTCCCAAAAAATATGTATCTCTTTGGGGTTTTCCCCCAATCCCCTTTTTCCTCCGCCTTCCTTGCCAACGCCCTCCTTGAACTATTTCTCTGGGTGTGGTCCCTTGACCTTTGCGTGACCCCCCCCGACCCACACTCAATCCTGGCCGTGTCCCTGCACGAACTCTACTCTCGTTACGAGAGTTGATGGATTGGGGCTCGAAGGCGAATTTAGAGACAGCATTGACTGTTAAGAATCATAAAGGGATTCATCTCGTGATATTTATTTTTTTCACTTCCGCTCCCTATCATTTTGCCCCCTAGGTGATATATTTGTTTGCAGAATCATAATCTTTAATTATCCTGGAGAAATCCAATGAGCTATGAAGCTCTTTTTGCACACATGTCCAGTAATTTGTGTACCCTGGTTGCTTGCTTCTCTGTACCTATTGCTGTAAAACATTAATTAAAAGTGAGTTCGGACAGATTTCATCACGAGAAATGACGACGGTCGATGTATCTGACGAGCGAGTGATTGGCAGCCAGGGGATAGGATGCACTCGAGAGAATGACCAGTGCAGAGGCGGAGTGATGGGATCAGTTCAGGCGCAGCAGACAGAGCTGGCGATGTGAAGGCCTTCATCCAGCGGTGGAAAAAACCAACGGCGACGGTGGCTAATGAGAGATGTGACATCTTGGCGGGCAGATGCGGTCGTTGCAACCACATGCCGCCCATACAAGTTTACATTCCGGCGGCCATGTAAACCGACGACCTCCGTGGCCAGATTTGAACACACACGAGTCCTTGCAGTAAAGCGTCATATTCGTAGTAATCTTCGATTTCCCACCGCCGTTCAATGCATATGAAATTAATCTGAATGCAACCCCGGGTCAGGACGTTGATGAGCGATCGATTTGGGTCATGATATGGCAGGCGGTATATTAAGGCAAAACCGAGCCACATACTTCAGTGGCATCGCACGTTGGCAAAGCCCCCCCCCCACCCAATGCCATGAATTAAATGGGACCCCCCCCCCCATGTTCACCTCGCCTCTGGGCTCCTTCAGCATGTGGGTCCTGGTACAGTTTGCGCCACCTGCACGCTCGATAGCTACGCCTCGTGGCAGCGCCAGTCGTAAGCAAACTAAGAAGACGTTTGGGGCCCCAGGAGCATCTAAAAATGAGTCCTGGATGAAAAATACTGCGTGTGGTGAAACGAATATCAAATTGAATACCAATCATAAAATATGAAAATGGATATTAACATTAAAAAGCGATTTAATCTCTCATGCCTATCTTGCCCTTAAATCTCCCATTTATTTCCACCTTTGTCGCGTGTCTACGCCTCTTTCAATTTCGGTTTCATTCTCATCTGTATTTCTCCTCTCATCTCACGAAGGCTCAATCTTTCGTCCACATTTTCTCTCATCCCACTGCAATTCCTATCTGCTGTCAATATCTCTTCTGCCATCTCCACGCGAGTTTACGAATCGAAAGGGGTGCTGTGTGCGAGCCCAAAAACTCTTTCTGCCTCCCCCCCACCACCCCGATTTGCCAGCGCCACCACTGTCTGTCCACGCAACCGCTGCACACACCTGACGAGCTTGTGGCCAATGCTGCGCCTCTTTTCCTGGCGCTCCTGCTCCGTCTGCCGCGGCAGGATGTTCTTGTCCTCCAGCTCGCGCGCCGATGGACGGTTGCGGATTTTGAGCGCCAGCGAGTCGCGCCGCCCCGTGTTCGCCAAAGTTCCTGCGGGTGCCCAAGAGCGGCGAGCGACAAGGTAGCGTTCGCTTAGTACCAAGTGTCATATCCGAGTTACATTTGAGCAAACACACACACACACGACATTGTTGTAAACAAGCTAAACGTGAAAAACAGAAGCCCAGAGGGCTACTATGCACAGAACACGAATGCCCTAAGGCCACGAATTGACAATGTTTGGGCGCCGTGGTAGCGAGATGTTAACTACCTCGCCTCGTATGCAGGAGGTCGTGGGTTTGATACTGACCTGACCCCTGCTGTATATTTGGAGTTTGCATGTCTCTCCCTGTGGTGGCGTGGACTTTTCTCCAGTTTTTCCCTCCGCATTTAGAAACGTACGTTTTCAGTATTTGGCTGCAATAAATTTCCACGCGATAAGCCACTTCACTGAGCAATCATTTGTGACCAGGTCGCTTCTGAAAAAGAGCAATGCAGCTCAGTGAGCCTTACCTGGTAAAATAAAAAATATCGTAATAGTAAACAAACCAGGGACACACATGAATTGTGAAACGCATTTCAACGTCCGTTTGTGCTCGTATTTAACTGTTGCGCTCACGCGCGATGAGGCCGTGGGGTTGGGATGGCGACTCTGCCGGGCAGTGTGCATCTCAGCCGGAAGAGCTGAGGCCCTTTTCGCGATGGTTTCTAGTCTACAAGTTTTTGGAAAATCGTTCGATCAATTTTCCAGATTTTAAATAGGATAAGTCCACGAAAGCAACACGACTTTATGCCCATGTTTTATCATGATGACGGGGGGGGGGGGGTGGACAGAGCTAATGCAACAACGTTTACACCCTCTCAATATAAAAGTGCCTCTGGAAGGTGATATCACGAGACTACTACTGACATTACTCCACGTACCTCTTACCTACGCTAGGCAATACATTTTAGTGTATGCCCTACGATAGAGGAGTTTGTCTCATGGCATTCAAGTGGGTTCTTTTGTTACCTTGGCGCTGGAAATATGCCAGATGTTGTAAATATCTAATTTCACGAGATGGAATTTTTGTGCTACAGTTGTCAGAGAAGTACGTTGGCCCCCTTAACCACCCAGTACCTCAGCAACGCATAATCTGCGGCTAAGAGTGGGATAGTATGTATGTTGAACTTCTTTCGCACCCTACGTAGCCAACTGTGCTAATCGGAGGTGCGGGGAGGAAGGATAACAAACTAAAACACAAAATTCTAGATTTTAAGCTTTCGTGACAGCAAGGATTCATCTTCTTGGGTTTTTTCGGTAAAGTCACGTAGGTAAAAAATTATAATTAAAATTAATAAAAGTAAAATTAAAAAAAATACACTAAAATGTATTGCCTACGATAATAAAAGTTAAATAAAAATAAAATAATTATTTTATTTTATTTTTATTTAAAATAAAAATTTTAAATAAAATAAAATAATTATTTTATTTTATTTTTACTTTACGTTTATTAATTTTAATTATAATTTTTTACCTACGTGACTTTACCGAAAAAACCCAAGAAGATAAAACACAAAAAGCAAGCAATTACAGGGTGGCACCGAATACACTGCAGCTCTCAATATGTTACGTTCTGTACTGTACGTGCAAACCGACCAGGTTGCTTGGCAGCAGAGTGAAGCAGCTCTCAATCGAAAGGTTGCAAGTTGGGGGACGACTCAGCCCATCATCCCTCTGTGGGGAAATCAACGGTCGTTACCCTATGGACGATCTGACCCCCTCGCGTTAGACAAATGTGGAGTTCACAATATCGGCTCTGGAACAGGAGGATGAGCGTCGCCGCCGGTGATACTTTTGTAGAGAAGCTCCCACGGACGTACTCGGAGACGGAGGTAAGTTATGGGCTTTCGCCAGGGTTTATTAACTCTGTTACAATAACACACCAGGGTACACAACTCCTAGGGGCTAGGGGTCCTACTCTGAGTCCGGGTCCCTGCCGGCTAGCTCTGGTCTCTCTCTCTCGTGTCGGATCGGGGACTCTGCCGACTCCACTGACCGGAGAGAGAAGCACCTCTACGGCTACCACCGGCTTCTCCCCAGACTCACTATTCGATCCCTCTCTCTACCCCTGGTTCCCTCTTCACCCCGCTTACTCTACCCGTTCCCACAGTGACCCCGTTTACGTCACGGGGTCTCCCTTAAGTACCCTAGGAGACGTGACGTCATCGCACTGAACGGCACACCTGACGTCACGTCCCCATTTTACTCCTCTACACTTTGACCAAGAAATCACTTTGGCTGAATAGCAGGCCGTGCGATTGGGAGTGAACTCACCCTCATCGTCCTCGTCCTCCTCCTCCTCGGTTTCACCGTCGAACACCGAGCTGGTGTCTGTGTCGGCCTCCAGGGCGACGTTCTCCTTGTCCTCGGCGTCCGCGTCCTTTCTCTCCAGAGCGTGTGACGCCAGACCCTCCTTGGTGCCCGAGGACAGCCTGGACACAGTGGCACCTCGGCCCGTCACGACACGGCTGCTCATCGATACGACGACGACAATAATTACTATGCAGTCTGTTCTCTCCTATCACTCGGTAGTTTGACTTCCTGAAGAACAGCGCATTATGGAAAAATCTCGTGATAATAATTAAGATATAAAATAGGGTAAAGCGCAGTCCGCGATAACACGTGAGATGCGTACGCATCTGAGGCACGTGGGTAGCATCTAGAAGGATCCAGCAGCATCCCGCCTTGTGCGATGGTGCTACGCCGAGGCAACCGTACGACCGCTTATTCCTACTCACGCCACATAGTTCTATTCACTCGATTGTGTTATATCCAATTCGCATCCGCGTTATTAAAAAATAATGCGTTCCCGAATACATTAATCGCGTTCTATCCAATTCGCGTTATGAAAACAACATGGAGCATTATAGGAGAACTGGCTGTAATCATCCATAAGATGATTTTGTTGGGGAAGATCGCATAGATATAAATGTGTTGTTAAATCCACCACCACCCGACACAGCCAATTGGTACGGTGTGTCACGTAAACAAAACGTGCCAATTAGTTGCTAGTTCAGCACACCGGCGGGTTAAACGACACATTTATACCTTCGCGATCCAACCCAAATAAAACCCCTCTACTGTGGATAATATTGATCGTGAAAGCCTCTGACGCGTTAAACAGACCGTAATCATAATTTTACGTTTGTAATGGGAATTTCATCTGCCGGTGCCAACGCACGCCACGTGTGCAAAGCAGGGAATAAATCAACAGAACCTGCAGGGTAAACGGCAAGAACTAGGCGGGGGCGGGGGGGGGAAGGACTAATTTAAAGAGGCGAGTTTTCAAGTCGGGACTTAAATATATCGAACGACTCCGACTGTCTTATTAGCAAAGGCAAAGTGTTGTTCCAAAGCCTGGGAGCTACACTGGCAAAAAAAGAAAACCCGATCACCCATGCAGTGACACGAGCCTTGACCTCAGAGTACTTAGAAAAAAGCAATTCGAAGATCAATACTGTACGTGTAGCCCGAATATAGAAGCAGCATTTCATTGTCGCAACTCCACCATACAACTGCATGAATGTGTGTTCGCCCCATCACACCTTTTTTGGCTTTCCAGACCAATGTTATCCAGCAGCGTTTGTTTAAGCAATCAAACCCTGCACCAGTTTCGACATTCCGGGCCTCATCAGCAGTCAGGCTCGTTAAATAAATGTTGTTGGATTGATACGTCATTGGCAAGAGCAATCCATCTCAATAACGGGAGCATAGTGAGTTTGTGTCAGATGAAAATAAAGATTGTTTTGCCCAAAACGCATGTGTCATGGTTAGTCCAAATATACTGCACTGATATAGCCGAATTTTCGCAATATAATTTTAGCATAACATGTGTATTACATTAATAAAATAGTATCATTAATATTTAGTACACTAGTATAGCATCACATGTAGTATAATAGTATTAGTTATTATTTGGGTCTTTCGGTAAAGTCACGTAGATAGGTTCAAAGAAAATGACAAAAAACTACGACGTTTCGATCGCAACACAGGCGCTCGTCATCAGGAAAAGGGGGTTAGCCTCTAAAGGCAAACTGTTTGTAAAGGTTTAAAATGGGCGTAGCCCCAGTGTCATCAGCATGGGCGGGGCAGCTGATGTTAATGTGAGTGGTGGGCGGGGCAGCTGGTGTTAATGTGAGTGGTGGGCGGGGCAGCTGGTGTTAATGTGAGTGGTGGGCGGGGCAGCTCATGTTAATGTGAGTGGTGGGTGGGGCAGCTGATGTTAATGTGAGTGGTGAGCGGGGCAGCTGATGTTAATGTGAGTGGTGGGCGGGGCAGCTCATGTTAATGTGAGTGGTGGGTGGGGCAGCTGATGTTAATGTGAGTGGTGAGCGGGGCAGCTGATGTTAATGTGAGTGGTGGGCGGGGCAGCTGATGTTAATGTGAGTGGTGAGCGGGGCAGCTAATGTTAATGTGAGTGGTGGGCGGGGCAGCTGATGTTAATGTGAGTGGTGGGCGGGGCAGCTGATGTTAATGTGAGTGGTGGGCGGGGCAGCTGATGTTAATGTGAGTGGTGGGCGGGGCAGCTGATGTTAATGTGAGTGGTGGGCGGGGCAGCTGATGTTAATGTGAGTGGTGGGCGGGGCAGCTGATGTTAATGTGAGTGGTGGGCGGGGCAGCTCATGTTAATGTGAGTGATGGTCATGGACGGCGCTGGTGGTGGGTTTCCACCAATTAAAGGGCTGCCGGATACAAGTTAGCATGTTAATGTAAGATGGGAGAGCGGCCTCCATGCCGTGGAGCCACTCGCCCTATTAGTATGCAAGAGAGACAATGCAAATGAGATGTTGGACAATGCGTACACGCACAGAGATGGCAGAACAAACAAGCCAATGCAAATTACCTAAAATTAGACGTTGCAAATGAGGCCGAATGAGACAACGCCACCGAGATGAACATCGCATGCGAGACGGGCAATGCAAATGAAGGAGAATAGTGAATGTAAATGAGACGGTGAATCATCATATGCCTTGCAGCAACGCACACGCGCCAGTGGAGGGGACATGCAGCCAAACACTGGGTCATTAGAAGTGACGTGGTTTAAACAATTCAATTATAAAACGCATATTGACTTTTTTTAATTTTCACGCGCAAAAAAAAAAACAACGGCACAATATACACATCGGATAGAAACCTTGCAGTCAAATATGAGGATATTTTTCCTGTTTTAGATTATTTTTATGCCACAACGCAAGCAGCCGTCCTTCACCTGAGGACGGCTGCTTGCGTTGTGGCCGAAACGTCGTGAGAATTATTTAATGATGTTTTATTTTTATTATTTTATTATTTCCCTTCTACGTGACTTTACCGAAAGAACCAAGAAGATAGTCGTGACATTATTGAAATTAGATATAAATTAAGAGTTTTAGTGAGATGAGAAAATAGAGATACGGACAAGCTCGGGACGAGATTGTTTAGGGTATGTATTCTAATTTGCCCTCTTAACTTTATTTAGATTTAATTTGAGCCCCATAAATCCATGCCACTTGAGCTACTTGGGGCCCTGAGCGATTGCTTAGTTTGCTCAGCGTCACCGCTGGCCTAACCCTGCCCTCTGATGACATTCATAACGCGACCAATGTCATTTTATTAAACGTTAACCAACGAGTAAACACCGTGGGGCTTAAGTGACTTGCCTCTGACGGTTGGCAGCCACTCAGGGACAGGAACTTACTCCCCACGTTCTATTTAAAAAAAGGCATTATCACTGTACTCGGTAGGTTATCTCTGTTTTACAGGACTCCCACTGCAGCGCAGACATCCGAATTCCATATTCTCAGACGGCTATGGTGGGCCATCATATGCGATTTTGAAAAAAATGTATGAAACCCTCTATTGCAGGATCGGGGCGAACACCTGTGAAAATAAGACACGCAGCACGCTTGCGTGTCCATCCCTGACTTCAATGCCATCCAGCAGACACCAGCTCCCAACAGGGGTCATGTGACTCGGGCTGTCCTGGTTTTCCCAGGAGGGTCGCAAGTCTTCCGGGAACATGAAAAGTTCTGTTATAATAATAATAATACACCGCTCAAGAAAATGCAATTTAAGCGTAGTTCTCCCCTCAACTGGTATTGCAAAGGGTGCCACGGTGGCGAGATGTTAACTACCTCGCCTGTAATACATGGAGGATCAGTGGGTTCGATCCCGACCCTGACGCCTGTATATTTGGAGTCTGCATGTTTCCCTTTCCCCGTGGTCGTGTGGATTTTTCTCTGAGTCCCTCCGGGCTTTCCCTCCACATTTATAAACACGCGTTTAGAGTATTTGGCTGCAATACATTTCCACGTGATAAGCTGCTTCATCGAGCAATCATTTGTCATTTGTGGCCAGGTTCACATCTGAAAAATATCTGTATAGCTCAGTGGGCCTTACCTGGTAAAACGATTTTTTTAAAAGTTGAGTAAGATATTCCTCTTCCTATGATACGTCCCAACTTTCTGTGCCTCAAGAGGTGGCAGTTCTACATGCGACCCAATGGACTCAAAGTGACCCCCTAGAATTCCATCACACTATCCCCCCCCCCCCAGCTCCTCCCGTTCTGTCCACGCGCTCGTTTGCCGGACGGCGCCGTCTGCCCACCACCCACCCACCAACCCACCAACCACTTCCCGCTGCGCGGAGTCCACACGGGAGGCTCAGCGCCAACAACGCGCCGCTTCTCTCAAGGACGCGGGGGAGGGGGTCCCTATGGCACTCGGCACCTGGGGCTCAGAGGGCCCGCTGCTCGGCAGAGCGCAGAGAGACTCCAACACTCGAGAATGCCACCGAACTGGTAGTTTTTCGAGGTAGTTTTTTTAGCCCAATCCGGTTGGACTCGGCATCGGCTCAAACTTTTGATTGGAAGAGACTTCAAGATAATTAAAATATAGAAATAGTTTACAATAGAAATGTTCATCGCGTGCCCAAATTCCTGAAAACTCTGCCTTCACTTCCTAATCGTGCAAAACTGCAAATAGAGTCATTTATCAACCAAACTTGGCAAAGGAGCGCAGAGCATCTCAAATTACCGGGTGATGGATTCGGATTTTATCCTTTTTCATCAAAGGGTTCGTTGCTCTTAGATGGCACAATTTGCATTCATTCGTGCCTGCGCCTTGGAAGGAAAAGCGAGATTGAGCCTGGTTACCATTTGGATGTAACCGTGGAGGAAAACGGAGAGGTTTTTTCAGCTCGGGCTGTGAATCAGCTCTTGGTGATGGCAGTAGGGGATGGATTCTTAAATCTGTTTGTGAAGAGTGTCGATTCGTATCCCTGCGTATGCGGGCGTGGTTCCTCTGGATACGAAGGTTTTCTCCCACGTTTCAAACGATGGTACGTGAAATTGACCAAAGATCTCAATGCAGGATTCTGTTGATAATAAATTAAAAGCCATCATTACTGGGTAAATACGTGAAATTCCTGTATTCGTATTATGTTACCGCATCATTTGTAAGATAGGCACCTCCCACCGTTCAGTACGCATTGTAGCATTTAGACTTTAGGTATTTTCGTGGTGAAGTTGGTCAAAGCACAGAAAAATAAGAATTTCCAGAAACTCATAACATTGTCGGATCCTTAAGAAGTGTACCGAATTAACATTATTTATATGATGAACGATCAATAGGGATTACGACAACTCTCATTTAAATACACACCCAGTGTTTGACTTCAATGATGACACTTCACCAAATGCAGACAGCATTGTCTTTCTGTGGGGTACAGAAGACAAAAAAACACCTAATGAATCTATATGTTAGCAGAGGCCTCAAATTAAATGACACGAGAGCAAGTGGGCAAGCAGCAGCAGGATTATGGCTTTCTCTGGGGAGACAGTGATTATCGACTACAATTAGCCCACGGCCATGTGGCGCGATGTGGTGCGGTCGGACATGGTGGTCTGAGGAGCGGAAAGAGAGAAGGCGCAGTACAGGGCAGCGTGGGGAAGGTTGGCAAGGACAGCGGAACAGCCCACATGAGTGGGACAGAAGCGTGCAAGAAGAAGAAGAAGATGTGGAGAGACATTTGTGGCCTCGAGGCGCATGAACCATCACGTGAAACTCTGGTCATCCTCGCAGCAGCGGGCTTTTGGCTGGCCGTCGAACAAAGATGGTCACCGCATCGCGCGCTTTTAGACCCGTTTATAACGGCCGTCTGGAACGCTCTTCCTCCCGATATTAAAAAGCCAGTGGAGCAGTGCACTTTTAAATTTAAATTGAAAACTCATTTCTTTAGAACAGCTTTTTTGCATTTAGGTTGTTGCGCTTTCCTCGCCCCTCCTATTAGCGCGGTTAGCTACGTACGGTGCCAAAGAAGTTTAATGGGGAGAGGGGACACACACACACGCGCAATGAACACTGGCTGCCACTAGCTGGGCTCAAGGTGCACTACCTCTCCAGCCTCTGTGCCGCTTTCTCCAGCACGCGCTTGAGCTCCTCACGCCCGGCGGGGTTCGACAGGTAGCCCGGCGTCTTCATCGAATGCTGATGGGATGTGGCCGTCTGTGTGGGGGTCGTGCTGCCCTCCTTGCCGCCATGCTCCCTGCCGTGCGAGCCGCTGGTCGGGGAGCAGGCGAATGAAACGACGCAGGCACGCGGGGGTCAGGATGCCGCGACATTGCAAAAAGTAAATCGTCGAGCGTCTTCCGCTGGCATTGTTGGCTTCACCCCGAATTTCCAGTGCAACCTTTGGCTGTATGAAGTCGCCATTCGGGCTCTGGAGTAGAGTTGCTACCTCCGACATACACAAAACCAAAACATCACGGGAATAATAAAATCTCACAATACAGCAATAGAGGTTTACGATGCGTTGTTTAGAGTCACACATGGACCCTGTTCTGACAAAAACAGAAAACCAGCAAGTTTAATGTCCCCGGAAGATTTGCATAGTTCTCAGGTCAGCGACCTCACACAGAGGACAATCCATGGGAAATCAGCACAGGTGGCGAACCAATTCCCCTTTTCTGCATACACACAGCCCTGCTGAAGAGATGCGAAGTCAACTAACCCACCTGCTGACAGACTTGTATTAAGTCATTTTAAATAAATAAATATCCACCACTGGCTCAGAGCAGCTGATGGAGATAAGCGCCACCTAGTGTCCACTTGAACGTGGGAGACACTTTGCTCTCGATGATGTATGATTTTTCTCTCGGACCTACCGCGTGCGTTGCTGCTACAGATTCCCAAAAAGCCTCCCAGAACCTGGAGCGGAACGTCGGACATTGGTGGCCGAACAACACTCGGCGCAACCCCCACCCCCCCCCCCCCCCAGAAAAAAACCCAAAAAACATCTCAGAGCTACGCGGCACAACTGCGGAAGTCTGCACGGCAGGTTACGTGATCGGATATTTAAACATTCGCGACCAATATAATCCATAATAGAGGTTTTGTTGGGGGGTTATATCGCGTAATTTTTTTATGAAACCCCCCAAAACCCCCCTCTATTATGGACTTTTGACTTAAAACTTTCGTGACTGCAGGAATTCATATGTAAGGCAAGGTGATGGTTTTGATTGGATCTTCAGATGGCTCCTTCATCACGGTTGGGGTGATGGCTTTGCGGATTGTGTAGTAGACTACACAATCCGCAAAGCAGGGATAACCAAAAAGATTTCCAAAATCTTGAACAAACACAAGATCCAGGTCCGATTTAACACAGTGCATATAATTCGTGATCTGATCCCATCTGTGAAGGACAAGATTCCTGACATGCAATACCCCGGCGTCTACAAACTACGCTGTGTCTGCGGCAGCAGTTACATTGGGGAAACTAAGCGACATGTCTCGGACCGTGTTCGTGAATATAAGGCAGATCTGAAACACGGCAAGACCAATATTTCTGCTGTGGCTGATCATTACTTTAATGCGGCTGGCTCACATGAAATTGATTTCTCTAAGACGATGGTACTTTGCAAGCCGACTGGCAATCAACAAAGATTCGTTCACGAAGCCATCCATATATACAGACACAGACACAATTTCAACCGAGACGACGGTTTTAAACTCAGCAATCATTGGAAAGATGTCATCAACGACTTTGGGTCATGACGTGTTTTGTGTTTTTTTGTCAACCTCCACCATCAGCAGTGTGGATGTGTGTAGCGAGGTGCAATGCCCCCCCCATCTCTACCCCCCTATCTCAACCCTCTTCCTCCCCCCATTGTCTAACGTACTCGCTTTACTTCTGGTGCTTTGCTCATACATTGACGCTGGCTACCCCGCCCATGCTGTTTACGCCGCACAGCTTTGCTCACTTTGAAAGCCCTTATTATAAGCAGTTGCATCTGGAGGTTTGCCCCCTCTTTTCTCTCCGCCTGATGAAGACCGCTTGTGTTGCGATCGAAACGTCGTGGTTTTTTGGGTCATATTTTTAATTTTAATTTTTTAAAATTGTATTTTATTTTTTATTTCCTATCTACGTGACTTTACCGAAAGAACCAAGAATATGATGAACTTGTGGGATGTTTGCAAGCTCTTCCCCGTGCCACTTCCCACCTCATCACGTGGCCTCCTGCATTTGAGACTCGGAGCGACTGTGGGATGTTGTCGAGACTGAAGAAGGCTCTGATCACCGTCTCGTGCACAGGGTGATCCAGGTGTCATGTGACCCTTCCCCCCCAATTAATTGGCTCCTAACAAGTTTTTTTTCTTCCACTTTGCATATTAATTTCTGTTTTACATGAATAAAAATTTATAAAAATAAATATATTAAGTTGTAGAAAATTAAATGGAGAGATGGGGGGAGGGCACAAGACAGCTGGACCACCCTGTACTGTATTCGACTTATGCAATTTTTTTAAAATTTGGCAAGCAATCGCACGTTTGGCACGACTTTAAATGTCAACGTCATTCAGCCACGGCAAGCAATTTCAATTGAGCAAAAATGCGCGATGGCTAAACTCCAGAACTTGTTTCGTCTGGGTGTCTAACCTAACCCCGCTTGACTTGTTTTGACTTTGAATGTGGCCGAGGTGAGCAGAGAGGTAACCCAGTGGTTGACGTGGGGCGGTGGGCGCCAGAATGCATTCCGGTAAGAAAACACAGGACCTGAGAATACAAGCTAGCATCTCATGGTGTGACCCCACTCTCTCCCCTCTTCCCTCCTTACCCCCACCCAAGGCCGTAGCCATGGAGTCAACATTGGGGGGGGGGGGTGGGACCAAATCTTCCAGGGTGTCTGGGGGTTCCAACCCAGAAAAAAAAAAAATCTAAATTTGAAAAATAATTTCCTGCCCAAAATATAAAAAAATTCACTAACACATGGGATGGACTTTATCTATTTACAATAATGTCGAATAGTGTATTGTATTCATTGCTCTGTTTTTACCATTTCTTATTTCATTGTATGTAATGGCAGAGATAAGGGATTAATAAAGTACAACCATGACCACAATCATATAAACAGAAATCTATGCATTGATTTATATGAAGACAAGTCCAGATATTGTGGCCAAGGTTTAGCAAATTGTTGTTTTTATTTACATAGCATAGCAATTTTTTTTATACCAAAATATTGGGGGGGGACATTTTGAGCATATTTGAATATTGGAGGGGGGGAATGTGTCGTCCTTCCCCCTAAATATATTATAATTACGGCCTTGCCCCCACCTCTCCCCACTCTCCCCTCCACGTGACCACTCTTCATGGCAGATGTGAGCCTCGATGATGTCCCGAGGGATAGGAGTGAGATGAGCACTTCATGTTTAGTTCCGTAAACATTTTCACGCGCTAGAATGCGATGCCCTAGACAATGTATACTAACGTCACTCGGATAGGGCGTTTGGTGCATTTTAGAATGCTACTTTGTATGTAAAATAGTCGGCGGGAGGAGGCAAAGAATGAGACGGATCCAAACGCATCGAAGGAAAAGGGTGAGCGTGTGACTCGAGCAAGAATGCAGGCAAAGGGCAAAGATGAACTCGGCGATATTGCTGTGTTTGAGCTCACGAGAGGGGAAATAGTGGCAATGCACTACAATACATTGTGCAGTACAGCATGCAATGTGTATATGAAATATTTAAAACGCTCATCATGGTATATAAAATATATGAAATGCACTAGAATAATTTTCACAGTATGTAATTCGAACACACTGCGTAGTATACAATGTATTCTAAAATGCAGCAGAATGTGCTACGCAATAAATAATGTATTTTTAATGCACTAGAATGCATTTCGTTGTATCCGTTTTCTCAATGCACTAGAACATGCAATGTAGCATATCATGTTTATTGATGCACAATACTATATTGGGGCACCGTTTATCCAACTCCAGTCCTTGCTACCCGCCACGCTACGTCTCCCTGCCTTCATCAGTCCAGTCCCCCTTCAATAATAATGAACTCGTCGCACGCGCCTGATGATTGTTAAACACGTCCCACGTGACGCGACAAGCAATTAACGCTGTCCGTGTTGATCGAGCTTATGCAAACGAAGATCGATATCTGAATGTGCGTGCTCCACGCGGTGCAGACAGCGTTAATTGCTTAGCGCACCACGTGGAACGAGTTAATAATCTGTGTATGTGACGAGCTTCTTTTGCACCGTACGTAACCGGCCGTACTAATCGGAGATGCGGGGGGAAAGGACAGCAAACTAAACACAAGAAACAGTTCTAAAGACACGAGTTTTCGATCTAGGTTTAAAAGTACACAGCTCCCAGTGGCTACCTAATATCGGACGAAAGAGCGTTCCAGACGGCCGCGGAATTCGAACGGGGAGTTAAGCGGCGTGGCGAACAAAGACGCAGCGCGCTGGGTCTCGGGAGCCGTGGTATTTGGAAGGCCCCGCGTCGCAGTGCGCAGTGGATAATGCCCATCGAGTGCAACGTAACCCCCCCGTTGTTGTTGTTGTTGTAGCAAGGCCGTAATTATAATAAATTCAAATATGCTCAAAATGTCCACCCCCAATATATTGCTATAAAATAGATTTCCGTTTATATGATTGTGGTTATGGTTGTACTTTATGAATCCCTAATCTCTCCCATTACATACAGTGAAACAAGAAAAGGTAAAAATGAAAAAACAGAGCAATGTAATACAATACACTATTAGACATTATTGTAAAAAATAAAAATAAAAAGTCCATCCTATGTGTTAGTGAATTTGTTTACATTTTACGCAGGAAATGGCAGGAAATGAGTTTTCAAATTTAGATGTTTTTCTAGGGGGGGCGGGACCCCCAGACCCCCTGGAAGATTTGGTCCCCCCCAATGTTGACTCCATGGCTACTACGGCCTTGTGTTGCAGTGCGTTTTGATCCCCGGGAGTCCAATCAACCGTCACCTTTTCCACGCCACTTTAAGCGCCGGGCCAGACCTGTGCGCGCCGGCTGCTGCGGGCGTGGTGGTCGCCGCGGCCGGGACCGGGACCGTGGCTTTGCGCGAGGGGCCGTGCGAGCCGCTGCCCCGGGAGAAGCTGGGCAGGTGGAAGAGCGCCGTGTGGGACGACGCCGCATGGGACGACGCCGACGCCGCAGTGGCTCGGGTGGGCGCTCCTCCGGGCGCCTGTCCCGCAGGGGACGATGCTCCTCCGGTCTTCTTGTGGCACTGGAACATTGCTGCCTTGGCTTGGGACGAGAAGGACTTCGCCGTCTGGCCCGACTCTGCTGCACAGCGCAAAAGACGAGGAGGGACCCGGTGAATCGAGGATATTTAACACGTAGGAAGGAGGCTTTCGCGACCAAAATCATCCATTAAACCGCCACTTTTTTCAAATTTATTGTTGTGTTTTTCACACCTGATGATGATTGCTTGTGTTGCAGTCGAAACGTCGTGAGCATTTTATTGTTTTTTATTTGTATTAATTTATTGTTTTCCTTATATGTGACTTTACCGAAAGAACCAAGAATATGAATCCCTGCAGTCACGAAAGCTTTAAATCAAAATTCATCCATAGAGGTTTTTTTTGGGGGTTAGATCGCGTAAATATATATAGAATGTACCGTTTAACCAGCCACCACCCGACACAGCCAACTAGTAAGGGTTGTCACGTAAACAGAACGTGGCCAATTCGTCACTAGTACAGCACACCGGTGTGTTGGAGAGCCAAGCCCCAACATTTACAATCTGAGTACGACGTTTCGCCAGTAATTACAACTAGCTTCATCAGGCGACAGCCAGATTTGTGGAGAAGTCCACCCGTTTCGTTCCTTTGCGTAAGAGCGCAGAAGTGTGGTCACCACATCTACGCCTCTCGATAACCTCCATTATGAATAAAGGATATTTCACAATCCCGATAATATATACGGCGTTAGTAATAATAAGGTCGTGTATTTAAACGACGGAAAAGCTTCCCCAATGCCGGTCATGGAGGCTGTTTGTCTGTACAGTCGTTCACGGTGCTGGTTCGTGTGGGCTGGGGGGGAGGGTATCACTCACCATGGATGTTCTAGCCGTGGCCGGTTGCCGGGTGCATAGCGCATTGAACGCATCACTTCACCAATTAGCTTCACAAACAGCTTCATCTATTAATAATACTCATCATGATGATCGGCCACAGTCAATCTACTGCTGAATGAATTCATCGCCATCCCATCACTATCCACTGGATCCTGTAATGCCGCATGCTATCTCACTCCCGCACGTGAGCTGATCGTATCTCTCCGTCTCCGCCCTGGTTGCTATATTAATAATAATAATGCCACTTATTTTCCCAGGAGAGCCTCGATGAGCTGCAAGAACTCACGGATAGATTCAATCCACAGATGGACGCGAAGCATTTAATCCATACATGGATTGCAGCATTGCTTTACTGCCAACTCCAGGCGACACCACAGCCGCATGCCTAAAAACACCAAGCGACTCCTGGGTGTCAACCATCCAAGCACTCACCCGGCTCAACCCATCCAGGCACTGGGCCTCCAGTGTGATCATTCCCTCACGGTGATTTTTCTTTACGCCAAACCTACAATACTCCTAATTAAACAGAACCGCATTCTCTGACTCCGCAAATGAAACCGGTCCACATTTTGTGCAAACAAACACCGCTATATAATATTGGTCTGGAAAATCAATAGGCTAATGGATCTTCTTGGTTCTTTTGGTAAAGTCACGTAGAAGGGAAATAATAAAATAATAAAAATAAAACATTATAAAATAATTCTCACGACGTTTCGGCCACACAACGCAAGCAGCTGTCCTCAGGTGAAGACCAGGTCTGTCGGGGAGACAGCGTCGAAACGTCGTGAGAATAATTTTATAATGTTTTATTTTTATTATTTTATTATTTCCCTTCTACGTGACTTTACCGAAAGAACCAAGAAGATGAATCCCTGCAGTCACGAAAGCTTTAAATCGAAAAGGCTAATGGATTTAAAAATTTCTATTGTATTTTGCAGGAGACAGAACGGAGTTCTGTCGATGTTGGCTTCGCCCATACATGCTCCGTGACAAATGCGTAATGAGGCTGTGTACAGTTTCCCAGGAGTCGTATTTTTGGTTCACTGTCCGCTTCGCGATTCGCCTACATTTCTGCATATAACACGTGGCAATGAAACATGACTCTCTGCGTGTAACGTAACAATGCAATTACGGTGTAAATAGGATGCTCGCGTGGAGACGCGTGCACTTTACCGCAGTGTCACAATCGATCTCTTTGCCCACCGTGCAGAGGGCATCTTGGTCATCCGCAGTAAAAAAAATGTTTCAGTCTCTGGGAGCCCACGTATGTGCACTTCAAGCGCCCGATTAGGCATCAAGAGATCGAGAGGTCATCACGGCCAACGCCGTTGATGTCACCCACACCTTCTCGCCAACGTGTCCTCCCATCTGCCAGATGCTGCAGCTGTTGCACCGTACAGACACGCGATCTCCGAGATCTGTGCTGATAGTCTCCCACCATCTGCCCTTCAGCTATTCCTCTTGGTCGCTGGACTCACGGATAGCATTCAAATGTCTGCCTTGGTTACTGAAAATCGCCATCCTTGCACACTTATGTCCCACTCAGAGCAGTCTTGTGAATGGCTCCTCATATCTTCAACACCGACCTGTCATGTTCTCTTCGGAACTTTTGCATTGTGCTTTCCTGTGTTATCACGAAGAGTCAGATGTGATAATATTAAGCACATATCAATTTCCAAAATGTTTTTGTAAGATATTTTTTTAAAATCTGAGTGTTTTTCACTGAAGACGTCTATGGAATTTATGCCTTGGCAATTTGGGCTTCAAATTCAATGACTGGAATTTTTTTGCTCAAAATAAAAAAGGGCATTTTTACTCACTAGGTAATTTACATTTTACAGAAATTGCATTACATTACAGAAGCCTGAATGTTGTATATCCTCCAGAGGCAATGGTGGAATAACCGTGCATTTTTTATGAAAATTTGGGCTTTGAAGCCACTGCACATTTACAATGAGGAATGGGGTCTCTGTTCCTGATGATACGCGTCTTTCGGTAATGACCATCATTTCCGTTGACTTGCCGTAATTTTAAGGGCACCAACTCTAAAGGAAACCTATTTTAGCAGGACATTGTAACGTAGCAGTAAAGTCCAGTGAGCATTAATAATATTAACGAGCGGCATTGTGCGGAAAATGGAATTGTACGAGCCCACTCGGTATTAAACATGTCAACAACCAGCTGAAAATATAATTTACTTTGATAAACCAGCATGATTGATAATAAACACCTGGGCAACACTGATAGCTAATCTTAAGGCAGAATATGCTTCATTTACAAAAGGATGCGTTCTTTCTTTCAAACGTGCACTTTTAAAAAGTGCGTTTCTTTCAATGCATAAGAAATTCTCTACCTTTTTCGAACTAAATATTTAAAATGAACAAAAATTAGAATTCTGCAACCAGACAACTTAGAGCAGGAAACAAAACCTACCAGAGCATTGCTCCAACAATTGTCGGAGCGGTACCACGGTGGAGAGCGCACTGCGCTATGAACCTCCGTGATCAGAGGTTTTATTTCTAGCCACGGCTCACATCGGTGGCAAGTGATATCTGAACCGATCCTGGCTGGGCCCCTCACTCCCTTCACCACGCGCATTGATCAGCAAATTAGTGGAAGTATGGTCAAATCGAGAATGGCGTGAGCAGGCCTTGATCCAGCAGCGGCGTGATTATTTTGCTTACTTATAATAACACTGTGAGTAGAAAACGCTTAAAGTTCACCTTTTTGAAAGAAAAAAAAAACACATCATGAAACTCATTGACTGTGTGTGCAAAAAAAAATTCAACCTCTACAATTAAAGATGAAGCCTCTTTATTGGGTAAAGCCTATTCTGTCAGCAGTTGTACACAAGCCGGTGGTATCTGTTTGCCAGGCCAATCTTGCCAGTCTCATCACAATGCCACCTTGCCTGGCTTCCAACCAGATACTGACACACACTCTGTATCTCACATTAGATCGAACACACCTCCCTAATAACAGTTCGCACACAACCTAATGCCGTTTTAATGACTGCAGTTAAATAAATGATCATGCGACTCTCATTATGTCACGGCAGTAAGATCAGACTCGTTGCTGCATTCTCTATTAAAATGTTTCAGCTTAGAACAATGCACGCGTGTCAGCACCATTGCTCAGTGTAACAAAGAATATTGAGCCAGATGCCTTGTCAAATGCACAGCGTCTCATTGTTTATAGACGCGGCAACGCCTTACACAACTTGCTCGGGCACGCCTCGGAAAAACAATGCAAGGGTACCGATGCGAACATTGAACAACGCACCCAAATTAATGCCGGCGTGCACGCACAATCACAACAGTGAACGGTATCGATAGCGTCGTGTTCGCAGCCACACAGTGCGATGTGCCAATGCATTTGTGTACCGATGCGTGCGGCATTGCCGCCAGCTGTTCGACGGGGGTGGCTCGATTGCTCCCCGGGATAAAGTCAGCCGCCTCTTACGCTCTGCTGCCGCATCACTCCACCCCTCCACGCACACGTCCAACTCTGCATTTGGCACCAACGCGTAGCACCGAATGTGCCGCGGAGGGGTAACCCAACGTGCCCGCGGGTTGCCAATGTGGCCCATGACTCGCGTGCAGCGTCGCGAGAGAGCGTTCGTGAGTGACTTACCGGCCGCCGTCTGCCGGGTGGCTTTGCGCCCCGTCTTGGTGACCCGACTCTTCGGTGCCGAGTGTTTGCATTGAGCGGCCGCTCCTCCCCCCGGATCGCTCTTTGTTCTCGCCGCGCCGTCCCCATCGGCAGCACGGACGGTCGCTCGTTTCTCCATCCTCGTTCCACGTCCGTCTCGCCAACGTCGCGTCTTTCTCCTCCACTCCCTCTCTCTCTCTCCTCGCCTTTGGTCTCTGTCTCTCTGTCCTGCCTCTTTCGCCTGCCGCTAAGGCTGCCTGCCTCCCTCACGTCTCTCTCTCTCTTGTTGTCGCTTTCCCTTCTACCAGGGAGAGCTGCAAATAGAGAGAGTGGGAGAGTGAGAGAGAGAAAGAGTGGGTGGCTGGGATTGTATTAATCCCTCGTTATCTAAGGTGGCTCAGTCCACGGCAACCATGAGCAGATTTACATTGCAGCTTTGCACGTACAAAATAAAAGCATGCAAATAATGTAACGTAGAAATAATTTAACTCAATACGCGGGGTCCACGGCAGATTTGAAATCACCATTTAAAGGCAAAAGAGTAAAAACATACCACGTAATATAGCGCCCTATATAAAGCAGCCAAGCATTTGCTATTAACACGTTCGGGGAAAATTGCACTGCCTGCAATTTAACATCGTCCGCAGCTTCTGTAAGGGGCGGGCGGCTCTGTAGAGCTATCCGCACATCTCTGGATCTCCTACTCTCGGGCAGGAAATGCATTACGTTGGTGCGGGAGAGTGTGTTTAAAAAGCAGCCTCCCTGAATTATTGATCCCTCTCATCGCATCTTTGGGCCACTTGCACGCGCAAAGAGAGAGAGAGAGAGAGCTGCGCGCATTGGCAGAGCGCGGAATCGGTGAGTGGAGCGGTGCATGCATCAGAAAACGTGAACACACCTATAATTTTGTTTTTATTTTACCAGGTAAGGCCCACTGAGCTATGTAGATCTTTTTCAGAAGCGACCTGGCCACAAATTATAGCTCAACGAAGTGGCTTATTACGTGGAAATTTGTAGCAGCCAAATACTATAAACGAGTGTTTCTAAACGTGGAGTGAAAACCGTAGGACCCAGAAAAAAAATCCACGCGACTATGGGCAGGAACATGCAAAATATACAGCAGGCGTCAGAGTCGAACCCACGACCTCCTGTATACCAGGCGAGGTAGTTAACATCTCCTAGCCACCATGGCGACTTCCCACACATTTGCTGTGTTTTGCGCTCACTTATAATAATCAATTTGCTAAAGTCTTCAAGATCTATTAAAGTGACTGCCGATCAGGCCTGATAAGAGGGAGGAAAGGGAGTACAGTACAACTGTATCGGGTGAAGCCCAATCATTCTATTCCAAGAAAATGTTAAGCCAGAAAAGATAACCGCTGAAAATGCCAAAACCCTGAATGAATGCACGTTCAACTCATTGTGAATTCATTTTCAAACACCATCTAAAGCAATAGCCGTGTGTTTAATAAACGAATGAGATATATTCATATTCTTAGGTTTTTTTCATGCCAGCTAGTTTAGATGATAATTGTTATTGGTAACACGATGAGAATAAAATGTTTTTACAAGGTCAACAATGGTTAGGAGCGCCATCACGTTAAGAATCAATAAAAATATATAATTGTCGTATTTTTAAAAATTAATTTCATCCAGATCGCGCTATCGAAATCACGTTATAAGGCAAAGGATCCGTCTGGATCTCTCGCAAAGCAGCACGGCCGTTCCATGCTATAAGAACGGCTTATTCAGTTTCAGTTTTCAATTTCATTTATTTGGAATAGCCATGTGAGCCATTCGGCTCTTGAATCTGGTGCAACCGCAACAAACAAAAGACAAAAACATGAACAAGAAAACATCTTAAAGTGAATATGTGACTATGTGCAAACAGAACATCCAGGAAAAAACAGCAAAAATATGCCAGAAAAGGCACCGTACACCAACGCTGTGTGCAAAAATATGAACAAGAAAACATCTTAAAGTGACTATGTGACTATGTGCAAACAGAACATCCAGGAAAAAAACAGCAAAAATATTCCAGAAAAGGCAGTGTACACCAACGCTGTGTGCAAAAATCCCAGTGGGATGCAAGTCAAACAACAACAACAACCACAACACAACTTAGATTAAGGCCATCGGTCTAACTCCGTACTACAACAAACAAACATGGCCGAACCAAAAAACGTTTTCGAAATCACCAAAATAAAGCCATGAAAGCAATGTAACAGCGGATATCAAAGAGCTACCTCTGAGATCCTGTCACGTGACCTCTGGTCCACACCGTAGAGAAACACTCTTCCCACCAACTCTGCATAATGAGAGTAAATATTCAGCACAGAAGGATTATGTTTTTGCTGGTACGGTAATCTGCGTGGCCTTTGACTGCGCACTCCCAGACTCGCCTGACATTAAAACAAGAAAAAAAACATTGTGGCTGCGTCAACGTGCCCCCCAGCTGCTTGGCTTTGCTCCTTCATATTCAGGTCAGTGTCTTTAGGAATATGAGCACGAGCTACAAGGATTTACAGGAATCAGTGAGTGATGTCACCAGCAGACCGATATTAAAAGCTAATGCTCTTGACGCGCAGAGATGCATCCAAGCAATATCGGTGACCGCAAGCGGACTGCTATGCGGCACATACCGGCCATCGTATACAATTACAAACCAATGTGGATGTATTTAACAGGCAAATGCAACCACGTCTCAATACGCTCTTCAGAACAGTGGGCATTCATTTACTGGAGAAAGAGACAGAGAGTCATAGTTGGGAGACAAGAGAAAGGTCTTGGCACCGAACACGAACAGGGGCAGTAGCGAGTCAACGGCACAGGTGACTGAGTGAAGGCGGTTCCAGACTATGGGGGAGGTGGGGGGGGCAGTAGATGGAAATGAAGAACCCAGTGTTGACATGAGAGAGGGCAGAAGCGAGTCCACGGAGGATCTTGAAGACGCCGAGCGTGATTTTGCAATCTAACCTGGACCGGATTGTGAACCATTGGTCTGCCCTATTGTCGTGATGCGGTCCACGTTTATGGATGCGGGCGTGCAAGTCTCTGAGTGGCATTTCTGAATCATCTGGAGTTTGGTGAGGCCGTAGAGTGGGGGGGGGGGGGGGGTGTCACAGTAATTGAAGTTGGAATATGACTGAGAGGATGGTTGAGGGTCTTCAGTGGTGGTTGGCGTAGGGAATTGGTGGACGCAGGGAATGTTGTGCATGTTGAGGTGCCAGGGTAACTGCAGAGGGGGGATATAAGGGGTAAATAAATGAAATACAAAGCCATTTAATATCAAAACCTTAATTTATGAACATCTGACCAGGCGACAGAGCAGTGGAGTATAATATATAGCAGTTCGAAGTTACCTTTATGAATTCAAATGGATATTGAGTAAGTCTTTCATCCATCTTGGGTCGATAAAGTGAGTACCACTTTGTGAGGAAGTCTACAGTGGTTCTCCTCTATGGCACTAAATTAATAGAGGACTATAAAGTATAGCAATATACTTAATTACATTTATAAAGAGCCACTCTACCAGGTACTCAGAGCAATGGTTTATTGACAGGCAGCGTATGGTAGTATATCCACGTGCATTTGCACACAGGGCTTCATTTCGGCCAGGTCCGTTCAGGCCGGGTGCCAGAAATGATTCCCCACCAGGCACACGACAATCCCTTGCGCTATGTCTGTGGCTACCAGTCATGTGCCTAATTCCAGTCTTGCATCATCATTAGCCAGGGTCTATCCACTGTTAGATTAAGCCGCCCACCCCCCCCCCCCCAATCCGTTGCCATCTCTCACGATTCTGCACATGTCAATAATGCCATTTCGTGCCTGCACCCAACTGTCACTGCAACTTTCAATGCCATTTCGTGCGGTCTACCAGTGAACCCGGAGGGGAAAAAATCGGAGAAAAATCCACGCGACCACGGGGAGAGAAACACACAAACTCCAAATATACGGCAGCGGGCGTCATCTGGGTCTCGATCGAAGCCACGACACCCTCCTAAAGGGAGACGTCTCGCACGATGGCATCAGTTTGCCCTGTGATCAGTAAATAATGCGCATGCAGTTGCATTTGTGTATCCTTGAGTCATCGTGTTAGCAAACGGACGACCATCCAGTTGCAGACTACAGTATTATGTCCGTGTGTGTTCGCGTGACGTGATTCTCAATACCACAGCGTGGCTTAAGCAGGGCTGGTTTTCACTTCTGCTTTTATTGTTTAAGTTATGCCTTGGGGCAGCTTGTTATCTGGCATTTTGGGACAATATCAATGCTGCACTCAGAATGACAGTATTACACTATAAGCTGACCCCATTAAAATCTTAGCTATGTCGAGCATTATCCTGCCGTTTGACTTTAACCTTGCAGATATGCAGCGATTATAATCTTTTTGTATTGAAATCTTAATCTCAATCTAGGCGTGTTTATCGTTTGCCAGTATCCATGGGGAAAGTCTGGCTTGTTGCCTCCCACTCCACATGACCGTCTGTTATGTGTTTAACTCTGTGAGTGAATTTTGTTGTTCTGCTTTTGTACTTCAAGTACTATCTCGGTCGACGATTCTGATGAATATGCGAGCAATGAAGATCCAGGAGCAATAACGGACAGAACGGCCTTCAAATATTCCCCGAGACATTGATCATGCCAGACAAATCAAGGCAAATTATAAAAAAGCGAGAACACAGCAGTAGTTATACGTACATCTCGGGGTTAATGTCACAATAACACTGCAGTAGTAAATTAAATAAAAAAAATACACAAACATGAAATCAATCTTTACATTTCCCCCCCCAAAAAAACTCGAAGGCCCCCATCAATTATTTGTGTGGTCTAGGTGAAACCGCAGCGTCCTGCTGCCGTGTCAAGAGTGCATTCCGTCTCGCATTGCGATTCCGTGGGCGTGCATCGATACGAAAGCGGCACGTGGCCAAGACATCTCAGCCGCGGGCGGTGCGCGCGTGCTAAGGAACTGCGCCCGGAGCTTCTCTCTCCTCTCCACTCGGGGGGGGGGGGGCCGCCGTGAATTCAAGCGCGCCCTCGCGAACCACGTGCCATCAGAGTTAGCGCCGCATCTCCGGCGAACGTGAAGAAAGGAACGGCGAGAGGGGGAGGTGGGTAGGCGTAGCAGCCACCTCGCGATCGCTCGCTCGTGTGCCCCTGGCTGACGGAAGGGGGTCTCCGGTGGAGAGACAGCTCTAGAAAAGCCCCTCTTAAGGGTATTTGTTTTTTTCATATATATATTTTTTTGAAATTGAATCAATACGCGAGCCTAATGCATCATGTCGTGACGCGCGCACGTGCACACACCGTCAACATCAGCTAAAGCGCTTATGAAAAGCAGGGAGATAGAAAGATGGGAAAGAGGCTCGCTGCCCCAAACCCTACAGGCTCCCAACGATGGTATTTTAAGCTTCTACGCCAGATATCGGAGAGCTGACATTGACTGTATCATTCCCCAATAGATGTAATAAGCGTGGTAAGCCTGGCACACATTTTGGCCATTTGCTCTACGTCAATCTCAAATTTAGAGTTTTTTTTACCATTTCTCTCGCAAAACTTGGTCTCGCACGGTCACACCATCGGCGTGATTCAATGCAACGATCCAGCTGCCAAGACTGGCACAAAGGTGGGCGCTGTCTCGGCCCCCCCTCCACCCCCAGACGGCGCTATCCTCCCACGCACGCTCT